TGCAAATAAAAACACCTGTAAAGGTTCCTGAGCCTTTAAATTGTCTCTCAGTCTAGTTAAATTACTGAAATAAATGTAATTTTGCACAGTATCCAAATTTTCCAGCTTCGCATAATTGTGTTTTTAGTATTTCTGTTGCTGGTAATCTAGTAATGGTTAAATAAATAAAATCCTTTAAAATGACACTAAAAGAGGCACAAATCTGATGGAGGACATAAATGTGCTAACTTGGGTCAGACCCGAACACAGAAGAGCTGAAGCTGGGTGGTGAAGACACACAGGTAGTTCTAATAACACCTGAGCTCCATGACGTCTGAGACTGATGCATCAGTGTTACAGCGGGACTAAAGACATGATCAGGTTACAGTTGGATGATCTAGGAAGGTAGAAGATCTGGACGACTGAGGGGTGAACAGGTGAGCGTACCTTCGGGATGACAGCGGGACATCCGAGAAGGGCACGGCTGCAGATCCACACCTGCAGCCGTAGATATTCATCACGTCTTCCTCGTTCTTCGCGGCCGTGATGCGCTTGGATGAAAACATCTGCCTCTTTAGCTCCTGATCAGCTGATGACAGCTTCTACACACCGCGCTGCTTAACGCACGCATTTTCTTTCGGTAAAAGAAGACGGTAATTAATAAGATTGCTCGTTACTGAAAAAATAAATTTTTTTAGTAACATGGTTATTTTAAACGGCGTTATTCCCATCACTGCTCTGTTGTGACTACAGCATGCAGTGACTGAGACAGTGAGAACACTGAGGGTCTCCACCCACCCGGCCAATCATCATCGTGTTTGTAAGTGCGTTACCGAGACCTCCCTCTCCCTGACTGCAGCTGAAGTGTGGCGGTCAGAAAACCTCACACTGTTGCTCAACATTCGACAAGCACATAACGCACAACCTTCCATCCCCAGTAATGGTAACGGCGTTGCAACAGTAGGAAAAGTAATTAATTAGATTATTCCGTTTCCTTAAAAAGAACGCCGTTATACTAAAACATCATTACTCCCAACACTGGTTATGATACTTTAGAGCATTCGTTTTTATTTATCCCAAATGTGCTCTTTCATCTAAATTATTTAAAAATCAGGTATTCATGTTAAGTGACAATTTTCATTTTGACTATAAATCAGTTGAAGTAAACGCCTATTTTAGATTTCTTAAACCCTCATTTATATTGATTCTCTTCAGGCATGAGTGTACTTTTTAATTTTAAAGTTACATCAAAGTATATTATTGCCCAGGTAATTTAATTTCAAAATATTTTGGTTTCATGTATAATATATTTGATGTTTACATAAAATGTATGCATATATTTATCAATTTTGGTTTCAAAGGTCGCCAACCATGCAAGAGGAAGACTTGGGAAGAAGCAGAGGTCCTTGCTGTCGAAAAGCACTTGATGCCATTCATTAACACTTGTCGAGTTCCTGGAAAAAGTGACTGTGAGAAGTGTATTAAACAGGAACCTGTTGCACTCAAGAACAGAAATTGGCTTGCCATCAAGTTCTATGCGAAGAATCGCATAACAGCCCTTAAAAACAAAGTTTGAAAACGTTTTCACTGGTTTGAAAATAAGTGTTCAGAATCGATTGCTTAACAGCCCTGAATTTTTTTTTTAAGTTTAATCTTTTTTTTTTTTTACTCTGCATTGGGTTTTAAGTCTATTCTGGGTTTGTAGAACAATTTTTGGCACTGTTGCCATACAATGTTTACTTTTTTGTTTGCAGGATTTTTTAATGGCATATTTGACATAAAATAAATATTCCTGTAAATAAAGGTAATTTCTTCGTGATGCCTTCTGATGCTTGTCATTTGGTTAAAAAAATAAAGCAAAAACAACCTTTTCCCATTTTTTAATTTCTGAAAAGAGTTGAGTTTTAAATATTTCCAAAGGAAAACTAAATGGTGTACAATAGAATATACTTTATTAATCCCACAGTGGGGAAATTCACTCATTACAGAAGCACATACACTAAGGAAAGGAAAATTAAAGTACAGTTAAATACAGATAAGCAGTAAGTTATTGTAACATTTAAACCACTAAAAACAACAAAAGAAAATCGGGATTCCAAGAATTTGTAGCATGAGGGACAAGACATACTAGTGTACATCCAGGTATTGCACTATATGCAACCCTTGTAATCCAAGTTTTCTTAAGTAATTAGTGTTGGCTGAGGGCAGGAAGGATCTCGTTGAGATTGGTCATATCCAAGTTCACACACTGAAAATATTTCAGAAGATTTAGTAGTAGTAATTAAACACATTAAGTGTAGTAACCTGTAGTGTTTTTTTACATGAAACTTTGTGATACTAATAATGTTAGAAATACTAAAAGGTGTTTATGTTTTGTCCCCACATATGACCTGACAGGTACTGACAATGTTAGAAAAACTAATAAGTGTGTATATGTTGTCCCCACAAATGACTTATTACCTGACAGGTCCCCAAAAAGCAGGTTCTTACCAGGTTGTGAACTCTACTTTGTCCAATTGGTATTTTGAAGTGACTTCTGTATTCACTGAGTTTTTAGCATCTCTCTTGATTTTTTTTATTGCTGCATGACCTTCAGAAAGGGTGGTTCCCACAAAGCATGGTCCCGTCTTGTGTCCCCACAAATGGCTAGAAACAAGGCTGTGTGTGTGTGTGTGTGTGTGTGTGTGTGTGTGTGTGTGTGTGTGTGTGTGTGTGTGTGCGTGTGCGCGAGGCACACTTGTCAGCTGAAGCCAAATGTATCACACAGCTGATGACTGTAGAGCAGAATGGCTTTAACTAGAGCTGGACAGTTATTCAATAATGATACTTAACTATCGATAGAGGTGAGGTGCCATAGAAAAAGCGACAATAAAAACCTCAGTAAAAAGTTTCCTTTGTTTTATCATAATAGCCTATCAGGTTTAATACTAAAGTAATCACTTTTTCCTCAACCAATCACAATCACAGGCCCAGGCATTACCAAGCCTTCTCCTCTCAAACCCAAACAGAGGTCCAATCCCTATACTCGCACTGCACCCTGCGGTCTTCTGTGAAGGGCACTTGGAGGAAGTGCACAGTAAGGGTGTTTCTCAGTGTCAAGGCGCCTGGCCTTGCGAGGCGATGTCTTGTGAGGCCAGGCACCTTACTTACCAGGACACCGTCCTTCCTTGGTCAAAGAAAACTGGAACAGACTTACATCACGTGACCGCGTCTTCCACGGCGGTCACGTAATGTCACGTGACACGGGAGACAACGTTACATTTTATACGCATTAGTTTCAATATAAATGTATAACGAGCCTTTAACAATTTAAATTGTGCATATATTTGTTAAATTAAAAATATAAGTGAGCTACTTCCCGCTAGCCAACAAAACTGCGACTACTACTGTAAGCAACTAACCAACCATAGATAACTTCGTTGGATCTAAAAAAAATCATTTTAAATTAGGTGACTTACTTTAAAACTAGAAAATTGTCCCCGAAGTAGCTGGTGGCTTCTGATCCGCCATCCTTTAGAAAATACCGCAGTGTATTTTGGGTAATTTTTGACCAAGGCTAGGCTACAAGACACCTCCCGTGTATCCTTGCTCAGTAGCCAAACGACTAACAAACGGAGAACACACGCCTCACTAGAACATGAACATTGGAACACATCTTGGCGGCTCCCAATGACGTATCTCCTCGGCAACCAGGGCGGGGGCAAGGCAAGGCAAGGTTCTTTGGTACTGAGAAATACGTTAAGGCTTCCAGTGAGTAGTACATGAGTGTGCAAATAATTGCCGGATTGGGACAGACATGCCGGGATGCTTGTTGCTGTGCTATTTTTTTAAATTAGTTTTTTACATTCATCGCTGCTTTGTTCAAAAGTTTCAGAGCATCAACCAATCATCCTAAAATTAATGATTTTCATTTGAAAATACATATTTTCAGAAAAAGGCACTTAAGCCTTTTCTCCCACAGCAATGGATTTTGGGTAACACCGATGCAGACTTGGGAGAAGTGCGGATGAAAGTTGCAAAGGAAATAAGCCCAAAAAATTGTTTGAATAGTTCACCAGCATGGCAACATTTGGATTTTTACAAGTCTGACAAAAACAAACTGCGGTCGTTCAATTCATTTGCAGAGAACCAAGTTGTTTTATCATAAAGTACTGACATAAAGTAGCCAGGGCTGCACTGAAAGTATATTTTCTCATATTTTTACAGTTATCAATAATTATTGACACCAATCAATATGCCTTTTATTTTATTGATGTATTTTTTTTCCAGTTCGTCCAGCCCTAGCTTAACCTCAGTTGATTTTAAAAATATTGAGGTAAAATTTGGTAGCAGAGATTTGTTCCTGTTCACTCAGAGTGCTAACTCTCATTAGGTCTTTGTTTCAGACTTTATCGCTAAACTGTCAGTGTGGCTGAGGACCCAGATGTGGTGAGGAGATCCAGGAAGCAGCAACACAAAACTAATCTTTATTTAACTGGAGCAGAGCGGTAGTACACAAGAGGAACTGAAGTATAAATACACAGAGAACAGGGAACAGGTTTGAGGATTAAGGATCGGTTGCAGGTGTAACTAGTTGATGGGGCATTGAGGAAGAGTTTGCAGGCATGAACATGTATTTAACTTTTGTCTGTTAATTCTTTCAGTTATGAAAACACACTCAAGTTCAACATCAGCTAAGGAACTTTGGGGCCAAACCAAACATTGTTATGAATACAAGCAGAAAGTCTTTTGATGTGGAACCAAACTGTATAAAAGCTTTGCAAACTTGGTTGGTTGGGCCCCTGGCTCCCTGAATGCTGATGTCAGATCTTTTTCTTTCATTTTGTTGTCTCCAGCCTGCATCTCGGATCCATTAAACACAGATTCACGATCAGATCAACCAGATCCAACAGTCGCGCCATTTTATCAACATGTGATTTATGGATCTCTTTGGTGATTTATATTAGTAAACATCACCAGCAGCATCAAAGTGTAGCACTTGTTGGTGCAGCCGTTGCAGCAGCTAAATGTTCCTTTTCTTTATTTTGATATGCAGTCGGCAATATTACATAACGATACATGGAGGATATTTCAGGATTATTGCTAGAATAACGGAGAGATGTTCAAAATGGCAGACAAAAATATCAGTAATAAAAAACACAGCAGTAGTGTAGAATCATTAAAATGGATGTGACAGAGGTTTTATGCAAGTTTATCGAGTATCACTGTAAAAAACAAAAACAAAAAAAAAATCGTCGAATTGACGATAATATGCCGGCAGCTGGGGGTTGCCAGGTTGGTACCGGAAAAATGCTGGCAAACTATTGTTGTTCTTTTACGATAATAAGTTATGTTAATGGTTACATTTGTACTGAAATCAGTATTTTACTAGAAGAAAATGTTTTTACTTGAAGAAAAAACAGTTTTACCATAAAACTAACGTGAAAATAATTTATAACATAAAAATTGTGCCACTAAAAACACATTTCAAAGGGTTTTCCTCCTTACACCTTCAAATGACTTCAATGAACACAATTTCTACGAATGCAAGTTTCTGATATTTAGAAAGGCAAATCCTTAAGTTTCTCTTTAAAAATCAACTTAATTTAACCCTTTCTGAGCTTCAATAATAAACCAGTTCAGTTGGATGTAAGATTCTGTTGCTGCAGCAGGATGCTTGCATGTCTCTGGCAGTAGGGTCGTGTGAGGTCCTGCACACACTGGAGGATCATCAGGGTCCTGGGAATAAATGAAAAATTTTTGCTGTATTGTTTAACTATCCATGCATCTTCAATGTTGTCTTCTAACTATTTAAATTGAATGATTTAAATGATACATCAAGATAGTCCAAATCTTCTCAATTTCGAAATGTCCTTTCATAGTTTTCATCAAAGTTCTTAATAATGGGTTACGTAATGAGCACAACCCGACACTATGATACTGGATGATGACATTCCTCTAGTGAAACTTTCCAGAATTTCTCAATGTGAGAAAAACTTCCGATGTCACTTACGGATCACTGTCTGTACACGTCCAGCGGAACCCTCTGGACCGGAGGACGTGGATCAGGTCTACAATGGATCCTTGACTGCAGGATTCTCTGTCAAAAAAGCCAAAAATGTCACAAAGTTTTTATATTCTGGATATTGCAGAAGCATCTTCAACGCAGCACTAGGCGGTGTGGATTGTTATTCAAACTTAACCTGATGGTATCAATACGTTTCCTTCGTAGGGGTTAAGGAACATTTCCGTACCCACTGTATGTGTGTGTATGTGAGGTTTTTTTTTCTCGTATTTGAGATGTTTTTAGATGTCAAAATGTGATTTTACAGGAGCTATTTCCATAAATTTCTACTAGAAGATCAACCAGTGTATGTTCCTCCTCACATCTGTGGCCCATCCAGGTTGGTCACCACTTTAATGTTGACATATTTGACTCTGTGAGGATTCAGGCTGTCCAGTTCCACACTTCCAAACATGCTGCCAAAACCCACAAAAACAAGAATAAGTCCTCAGTACAAACACAAAAATGTATCCGTGTCATCCGTCATCTCCTACCTTTTTCTATTAAACGCGTTAACAATAGACCCATTCAGTAACACAGTGATGTTGCCACAAGCCGCCTCTGCAAACTGACACATAAGTGCTGATTGATGCAGTGAGCAGCTTCTGAAGAACATGTTGGACATGCAGAAGAAAGAGCTAAGTAGTGTTTGGACTCACGGTTTGAGAGGCCCGCTTCCACAAGGAGAACACTGGATGAGTTCTACACACTGACCACTCCGGACAAGAATTAAAATCAAAGTCTGCATGAAACAAGGAATATTGCTGAGAATCACACGACAGAGGAAATCAAACTCTTTGCCTTTTGCATCACTGGATACTTGTTTGCGTTGTGTAGGCATCCTTTAGATTTTGGAAACTTGGCTGAAGTATACCTATCAACAGGTGACTTTGCACTTACACTTTTTTCACTTATGATTCAGGTAAAAGCACAACAAAAACTGTATTCATGGAACAAGTTTAAACAAAAAAGTTGGTACAAAGTCAAAGTGGTTAAGCCCAACTATAGCTAAAGGGCTACAAACTCAGAGTTTTTATTGACTTCATTTGAATGAGGAGGGGAATTGATGCCAAGATAAATTACATACAAACCCTTTAGTAAAGATCCTTTTAACCTCCTAGCTGGGAACAAATCTATAATCTTTGTTTTGCCCTCTTGAGAAAAATAAGAAGAAAGAGGAGGAGGAGAAGAGGGAACTACATTTCTAAAGTTCCAATCGCTACTTAGCAAAAACACGTCCTTTAAGTTTTTTCAAAATAAAACACCATGGAAATTAGTTATGAAAACATTACCTAAACAACTCTCAGGAATAAAACTAATTGCTAAAAGCTTTAGGAGTTACCCCAATTCAAGAAGGCTACAACAGCTAGATCAGTTGAGCCAACACAAAATGGTTATAACTCAGTCACTTTTATATATTTTGGCTAATATCTGGTGTCATCATAGTTGAGAATCACCCACAACATGCACCACAAATACAAGTAAATCAAATTAAGTTGCATGAATAATGTCTCTAAAGCTATCGCTTTAAAAATTATTTTTGTGGTAGAAATTTGTCCAACTTCACATTTGAAATCACTCAGCACCCCTCTGTTGACCAGAAACCACACTTAACAGTTTTGTGGCATTGATAGGTTCACTAGTAGTTTATCTGCTTTACGGCAACAGCAGTTTACTCTTCTTGTAGCTGGGATAAAGGCTAGCAGTTCACCGACAGCCAATAAAAAGCACAAGAAGACAAAGTAGACTAAAGCTTTTTGTTGGCATTGTGGTGGAGGCGAAGTAAGGAGGTGAAGTAAAACCAGAGTGAACTCAGCTAGGCCTACACTTGTTTAATGGAGGTTCGATGATATGAAATCACGGACTGATGATGACCTGGCTTTGTTGCTACTGCACTTGTAATATTTTTTGTCCAATAAACAATGTGTGTATCTTTTTACATCATGGCTTATTTAGTATAAGTTGGCTTGTGTTAGCTGGTTGTTAGCTAGCTACGGCAGACTGGGAGTTGTATGGAGCTAGGATTGAGACAATATTACATGTAACTTGTACCACATTTTGTAAGTTGTAACATGTTTTGTATCTGTAACTTGTGCTTTGTAGCATGCAATTCATGTTTTGCAACACATAACTTTCAGTTTATAACATGCAACTTTTGTTTTGTAGCACATAATTCTCTTTCTTTAACATGTAACTTTTATTTTGTAACACACAACTTTGTTTCGTAACAATAATTCTTGTTTCGTAACATGTAACTTTTGGTATGTAACATGAAACTTTCAGTTTGTAACTTGCAGAAAATAATCTAAATCACAACTCTCAAAACACAGATCTCAGTCTACAGATACAAAACATTTTGTTACGTTTCACGTTATGTGCCAAAAGTTACATGTTACAAAACAAGAATTACATGTTACAAAATGAAAGTTACGTGTTACAAAATGTGAATTACATTCTAAAAAACAAAAATTACAGTTTCAGAATATGTTACAAGTTACAAAACCCAGTACAAGTTACATGCAATATTCTCCCAATCCTATTGATAAAGTTGCATCTGCTGAATAAATGAACATAAAATTACAACTAATTCACTTTTGGTTTCAAGATGGCTGTCAACTAACTAACCAACTAACCAACCAACTAACTAACTAACTAACTAACTAACTAAAACTAAAAAGATTATATTTCTGTAAATTTTATAAATATTGAGTTAAAATTGCACCCAGCGATATCTGAGACATTCACAACACATAGTTAGATGCCTAACAAGGTCTTTACATTAATGCTTGCGTTCAAGCGTGAGGTCATTGTCAAGAATGGACCAAAACAACTATAACACTTTTGTTCGGTATAAAATACTTTTAGCATTTCTGTCTTTTTTTTAATCTTTAATAGATTTCTGTCTAAAACTCCTTGTACCAGAATCTTCTTCCTGACCACACCAGATGAGCTCATTGAACATGTAACCAGCCAGCGTATCCTCCAGCGTCCAGAAATGTGGGACAACAGCTGCATAGCTGTGCACCAGAGTTCTGGTTTTACTCCAGAAAAGAAACTAAATGCAGGAGAGGAAAACAGCAGGGTGAGATAATGGGGTTAGAAAAATGTTTTTTTAGAAGCTAACATGTACAGTCTTGCTCACCCTGTCACAAGGCTGGATTTGAGACATGGCATGGAACACCTGGTTATAATCGTCCTCTGTTACATTACAGGAGGCCTGATGGATGACCGCCTCCTCAAACCGCCTCCAGATCTCCTCACAGTCGAATCTGCACACACACACACACACACACACACACACACACACACACACACACACACACACACACACACACACACACACACACACACACACACACACACACACACACACACACACACACACACACACACACACACACATTTAGAATTTTATTTTTACATGGTGTAAACAGTTTGGCTGTTTTCTTTATTTACTGGATAATAAACAAAGCTGAAGTCGATCAGTTAGACTTTTCCTCAGAAATGATTATTTTTGTATTGACACAAAATTCAACACTGTCTTATTGATTATGAGCTTATAACATTTTGCCTTGGGCTATATGAGGAAATGTACTCTAAAATGCTTTTTTTGTCACAGGATTTAGCAAACCGCCACATTAAAAGATGCAGGAAAGAATACCTCAAGCTAGGGTTGATCAGGGTGGTGTAGGTGAAGCACCTTCCAATCACGATGTGTCTAATGTTGGCGGTGGTCCCAAGCTGTCCTGGTGTCTGACTGGAGCAGAGGTGAAGTGGAGCAATCCCTTTGGATTAAGTGCAAAGGTCAAATTTATCATGTGGGAATAACTGATTAGTGAATGTGAAGATGTGGGAAGATTGCGGAAATTACTCACATGTGGTGATACTGATGATGAAGGATGTTAGGAAAGGCATGATTGTGGAATCAGAGTTCACCTTTTCAGAAGAAAAACCACCAAAAACAAACATTAAATATGAGGTTGAGTGAAGCTGTGCCTGCAGGGCAACCGGCTTCCTGAGAACTCACAAGATGAGTGATTGCCTAAATCATTCCCCCACGCTTGTGTTTCAGAGCTGTCAACCCGATCTTTGAGGAATTTACTTTTCAGATGTTCATTTATTCATCATATGCAAGAATGGCAAGTAATGTCAGGGCTTTAATGGTTGATTTAAACTGTTCTTTCTGTTGGAGCTACTTCACCAATTTTCAAAAGGAAAAAAGATTTTTTTTGTCCTACAGAAAACATGTTGTGTCATTCTTCTGTGGAAATTCAATACAATTCCATAAAGTAACCTGGAAAGCTCCTTAAATGTGCATTTTTATTATCTATATTTAAAAACACAAGTGACTGTTTTACCATTTAAACTAAAATTAAGAGCCATTGTAGAAATTCCAAAGAGCCACTTGTGTGTGCAGACCCCAGTGCTAAATGTTCTGGGATTAGACACGATGACAGGAAGTGTCAAGGCGAGACTTTTAAACCAAAGAGCACTACTCCAGCTGTCAGGCATGGTGGTGGATGCATCATGGTATGGTGCTGGTGCGTTGCCTCCTAATGCTTCCGTTTCAACTCAGACCATGAGCTCAATGGTTAGCCTAGAAATCTAGACCAATAATAGCAGCGGCCAAAGATTTTGTTCTGCTGGTTGGTCAAGCCACGCCCCACAATTCAGCGGGTCAACTATTGGCCCGATCTATGTTTGTAGAGACAAGATGTGTGGGTTTAGCACCAGAGCAGCGGTATAGAGAAACTTTAAAGATGACATCCCCTCAGGAACGGCTCATGTTTGAAACGGCTTTGGCATCAATGTGAGCAGATAGACATATTTCATCTTCTTCAATGTTGTGTGGCCACTACTACTACTACTAAACTTTATTTATATAGCGCCTTCACATGGTCCAAGGACCAAACAAAGCACTGCACAGCAGAAATAAACATAAAAAATAAAAACATATAAAACCATTTAAAAACCAACAAAAATATGCAGATAAAATCTAGGTGGGGCAGCAAAAACGTGCAAAGCCATCCGTTAACGAGGCTCTTCTTGAATAAAAGCTAAAGAATAAAAGTGTGTTTTCAGCTGGCTCTTAAACTTGCCGAGCATGGTGGCCTGTTTAACCCATGCAGGTAGCTCATTTCAGAGCCTCGGCCCCAGTACCGAGAAAGCATGACCCCCTCGAGATTTCAGTCTGTGTTTAGGAACAACCAACAGTCCTTGTTGTGCTGACCGAAGGTTCCTTGCTGTAACATAAGGATGGATCAGATCCGATAGATAACGTGGAGCTAACTCATTTAAACATTTAAAAACAAACACCAGTACTTTAAATGAAATTCTAAAGGAGACTGGAAGCCAGTGTAGGGATGCCAAGACAGGCATGATGTGTTCAGATCTCCCGGTACCAGTCAGTAACCTGGCTGCCGCATTTTGGACCTTCTGTAGTTTCGCTATGCAGGCCTGCTTGATGCTTGCATAAAGCGAGTTACAGTAGTCCAGTCTGGTGGTAATGAAGGCATGGATGACAGTTTGCAGATGTTTACGTGAAAGAAACGGCTTAATCCTAGCTATCCTCCTGAGATGGAAATAGCAGGATCTGATCTGGCTGTCCAGTGTGAGCTCTACATCCAACTTCATCCCCAGGTTTGTGACCACAGCCTTCTCAAAAGGTGCTGATGAAGGAGAGTCAATCCCTTGGGCACATCCATGTTTGTATTTCGAGCCGAACAGGATAGTCTCAGTTTTATTCTGGTTGAAGAACAATAAATTCTGAGCCATCCATAACTTGACCTCCTCCAAGCAGTCCAAGAGTGGTTTAAAAGAATGTGAGTTATTGCATGATACAGGTAAATAGATTTGACAGTCATCCGCATACAGGTGAAACTTTACGTTGTGCCGACGAAACAAGTCACCCAGCGGCAGCAGATATAGGGAAAAAAGGAGAGGTGCCAGGACTGATCCCTGAGGCACTCCACATTGCAAATCAGCAGTATCAGACGAACAGTCCCCCAATCTTACACAAAAATTCCTCCCTGAGAGGTAAGATTTTATCCACTGGAGTGCTAAGCCTGATATTCCCACCCAGTGCTCCAGTCGACCAATCAGAATATTGTGGTCTATGGTGTCAAATGCCGCAGTCAAGTCCAAGAGTACCAAAACCACAGCCTCCCCAGAATCGTTTGCCATCAGGATATCATTCAAAACCATCAACAGGGCTGATTCTGTACTTTGGAGAGACTTAAACCCAGACTGAAAAACCTCTAGTATCTCATTTTCATGTAGAAAGGATATCATTTGGGCATAAAGCTTTTCTAAGACCTTAGCTAAGAACGGCAGTGTGGAAACAGGCCTATAGTCAAATACATTTGACAAATTTAGGCCAGCTTTCTTCAGCAGAGGGCGCACTACTGCATGTTTAAAAGAGCTGGGAACTTCACCCGATAGTAGACTGCTATTTATAATTTCTAGAACATAAGGAGACAGCTGGAAAAACTTCTTTTAGAAGTTTAGCAGGGATTGTGTCCAATACAGAACCAGATGGTTTCAGACTATTGACCACCTTCTCCTATGAGAGATGTTAGATACAAGCTCTCCAGGAGCCCTGGGGCAGGACCCCACAGAGGAGGATGGTAATTGGAGGGTGTGATCGAAGACTTCGTCCTCTCCACTTTGTAAACAAAGAAGTTGAGGAAATTATTGCAGGATGCTGTAGTGTACTCAATAGCCAGCGGTTCATTTGCATTTAAGATAGAATCCAATGTGCTAAAAAGAACCCGGGGATTCTGTGAGTTGGAGGAAATAATGTCAGCAAAGACCTTAATTCTCGCCTCTTTCACAGCTTTCTGGTAGGCTACCCAGCTATCTCTCAGTAGGTCAAGGGAGATCTGAAGCCCATCCCGCTTCCACCTACACTCTGCCTTCCTACATTTCCTTTTTAAGTCCCGTGTTGTCATATTTAGCCATGGCTCCTTTTTACATTTATGTTTCTTAGCCTGCACAGGCGCTACAATATCTAAGACCGTCAAGCATGTTGCGTTAAAATGTGCAGTAAGCTCCTCAGTGCTACTAGGCCCAGCAGTTTGCCCCTGCCCCACCAACCCAAACACTGAACAAAACTCAGTGGCTGTAGAGGACTTTAACACCCGGCAGAGTTTCACAGGAGGACACTGCATCACAGGCTGACAGGGGAAAGGCACATTAAATAAAACAGGTCTATGGTCCGAGAAAAAGGCCTCCCCGACCTGCAGATTGAAAGCAGATACCCCAAATGACAACACAAGGTCCAGGATATGCCCACATACCTGTGTAGGTTGGTCAACTAACTGAGACAGATTAAAAGAGTCAACAAGATTTAAAAAATCCTTCACCATAGGCTTATCATGACAGCAAACATGGATGTTAAAATCCCCAAGAATTAAAACCTGATCATATCTCTGTGAACTCCTCCAAAAAGTGTGCATTAAATCTTGGTGGACGGTACAGGAGTGTGACCAAGAGTCAGGGCGCATGACCCAGCTCGAACAGGCAAAGCTCAAAACTAGTAGGCATAACTGGCGAAGCCACTTGTTTACAAGTGAACTTTGACTTAAAAATTACCGCCAGTCCTCCTCCACGTCCTGATAGTCTCGGGACACTAAAATAGGCACAGTCATCCTGTAGTAGCTCCACAAAAGCAGCAGATTCACCTTTGGGAACCCAAGATTCCGTAATGCATAGGTAATCCAGGCCATGAGTCTCAAAGAACTCCTTCAGAATAAAAGTTTGTTCATAATGGACCTGGCATTCACCAGGGCAAACCTGATGGTGTCCGGCGCCGAGACGTCCTGATCCTTCCCATCCAATTATGGAGACCCTGATGGCTCGTAAATCACCTCTTGTAAATTCCGCCCATCGACTCCTCTCTAAGAGCCGTACCTCGGACGTGCAGGACGTCGGAAGCGGACCAGCTGACCGCCGCCAACCACCGACACCAACCCAGAAACCACCGGGCCTGGTGGACGCCACCGCTGCAAACAGGACCCAGCCGCACCAGGATTCTCCCTCAAAGCATCTGGTTCGTCAAGCAACGCTGATCTTGGCTTCACCAGACGTCCAGCCCGTTTACCCCTTCTCCGACGCTTCCTCCACTTAGGTAGGTTTGACAGTCAGAGTAAGAATCCGGGGACTCCCGATAGTAGTGCAGATGTGCCTTGTCCATTTTCATAAGGCTGTGGCAAACAATTAGCCGGTTGCCAGAGCTGCAGCAGGGCCCCACGGCTATACACATGTAGTGAGCTAATATTGCAGAAAAAATATCCCAGTAACAAGTAAAACCATAACAACCACGGGAGCGACAGATGAGCTGCTCAACTTGTGGGAGCCATCTTCACAATAAGTGTTGTGCCACATTGACGTACTTCCATAGCGATAAATACATCAAGTTGTTTGTTGCTGTGATTGGTCCTAGCTTTAGCCATTAGTGGGTGGAGATAGTTTCAAAGACATCCGTAGGTTCAACCCCACGACTGAGTTCTGACTATGGGTCGTGGCCAGACTACATGTTTACATATACAAGCTGGCTTGCCAGGCTACTAAATGGTACCAATTTGGACCTGTTTGAGTGTCCCAACAGGACAATAAAAACCTCCAAACTGGTTTCTGATAGGATAAAGCAGGCTAGCATTAAGTTACTGGAATGAGTGTCCCTAATCCTCAATCTACACCCAATTGAAAATGTGTGGAATGTGCTAAAATTTAAGTTTGTTAAGAGAAAACAACTTTATCTAGCCCGGCAAGCCATTCTAGATGTTTGAATAGATTAGCAAGCTACAACACTGGCCTGGCCTGCTGAGGCTCTGATGAAGCGTGGCGAGACCAACATGTAGAACCATGCTAAACTTTACCAACTCTACCAAGGAGAAGGGTGAAATATCCAACCAGAGGGTCAACATAAATGATTTGGTAATTTTGTTAAAAGACAATTATCTAAATATTAGTGTAGTGTAGGTACAATAAACTCAAGCTTAAACCATGGATAAAGAACAGTTTCAATGAAGTAGAGCGCAAAAGAACTAGATATTCATGCATTTAATGAGTTTATATTAACTTCTGACTTCAACAAACACACATTAAAAAGAATAAAATACTGTTGGAATGACTGAAAGAATTCACTTACTAATATTTTTCAAATTCTTTGTTTAAAAAATAGTAATCAAAGCTCACCTCTTCCAGCTCAGGATGTTTAAACTGCAGCAGACGTTCCCATGATTGATGCTTGACTCCTCTGGACTTCTAACTTAACTGAGTCCAACAGGATGAGATGCAAAGATTCCAAATGAGTCCTAAAAAGGATTTTTAATGTTGTCTTTCATTGGTGGACGAACACACCTCCCTACCAGGGCTGACACAGTCCCAAAGGACCAATGAGATGGGCTTTCAGAGTCGTCCAGTTGCAAAGATATAATCCTCATGACTCCTGTTAGGATGCTGTTAGGAATCTTCTGGAACAAAGTGTGTGCTGTTCCCTGGAATGTATTAGTTATGATACAGCAGAAGCAGACAGGGAGTATTTCTTTGTTTCTAAGCAGCTTTTGGTTTGGTTATAACGAACATCTCATTTCTGAAATCACTTCTTACTTGTGACTCTTTGCAAAGAAAACATTAAAGCATTAAACAAAAAATGGTTTCAGTGACATGATGTATGGTTAAGTGTTGCAAAAGTACTTAAAGAACATTAACATGCAGGTAAATGTGCAAAAGGTGATGTTGGACCCCATTAAAGATAAATTATTCCCTCCGAGAACAGAAGCTTGGATCTAATGAAATCATGTGTTCACCCATGTGAATTCCATAATAGTATACAGCTGCAGACCCAGAGACTGCAGATTCATGCCGACATGTCCCACTTAGGCTGAGGCCTGACTTCCAGCTTAAAGTGACAGTGTGCATTTTCCCTGGCGATAGGGGGCAGTAGATACCTAAATCATTGCAAGCTAGCAATATTTTTGTGTTGGAGTAAGACTTTACCAACGGATGCCCATTAGGGTCAAAAAGCCCTGGGGAGTGCAAACGTCAGCTAAATAACAAGCAGATCGGACTCCCTTTCATCACTGGCAAAAGTGGAGGTAAATGTGTAAAACAACAACATTAAAGAATGACGAAAGTTTTGCAACCATTTGTTACAAATCAGTAAATGCATTTTGTCCTCATGGGCTCCCGTAGAAGGAAACATGGCATCTAATATGGTGTAGTGTCAGGCTGTATAGCGTAACAACTGCATGTTTAATTATGAACAATAAGTTGTGATGATTCCATATAAATATCAAATGTCAACCTGATTGATCTTTGAATGTTTAATCAGAAGAGTTTAGGATTCTTTGCTTATTCAGGGACCATAAACACACTTCGTATTAATTCAGGCAGAGTCAAGTGTATAGTTAAAAAAAATTATTTTATTTTCCTAAACTAATTATAATGCATGACAAGCTGTGAATAATGATATGTGATGGAGTGTATGTGTAATGATGGAATGTGTGTGTAGTGGATATTTATTAGAACCTTTGTATCTGACAGAGGTTGTGAATTCTGGGTGTAAAAGAATTTTGTGGTGTGCTATGTTTTTGCTATGGAAACCCTTTCTCCCTATCCCAACCTGGGCGGGACTGTGACCGGTGAAGGCCGTGGAACCATCTAGTCAATGTGCCCTCTAACCCAATATCTCCCTCCCCTGTCCAAACGGAGGTGATGGGCGCTGCTCCATGCGGCTGCAGGCACTGAAGTGAGGAGAGTCCCAACCCATACCTCCCCACCTATTGAACACTTATGTTGTGTATCATCTGAAGTCTGGGTGCATATCTGTCTGAGGTGTTTTTTTTTTTTGCATAGCAAAGCTATCCTCTCTGTTGAGGGTAACTCTGAAGTGCCTTTTTTCCCCCTCCCCTGACTCTATCCTTATATAAACCCTCTTTATCTATTACGGTAGCGCGACTCGTGTTGCGAATGACCACAGTCACCAATTCTTGTCATGTGTCTATGTATGTATGTCTGATCTCAGAACTGTGTGTACTGAAACTCTAATTTCCCTCTGGGATTAATAAAGTACTTTTGATTGATTGATTGATTGATTGATTGAATGATTGATTGATTGATTGATTTGTTGATTGATTGATTGATTGATTGATTGATTGATTGATTGATTGATTGATTGATTGATTGATTGATTGATTGATTGTAAGCAATAATGTTCATTTCAACTTCACTGAATTAGGCACAGATCATTCAAATATTTCATATAACATCTGGTTCATTCAACCATATGATTATTCAACTTATGAGTTGTAAAAGTTCACCTTTTATTCAGAGTGTGAAATACCGCAGTCTTATCAGAGGAAAGCTTTGTTTGGAGACATAGGCTGACAATCTTGTCTTCATGGAATGTCATCAAGCACTGCAGCATCTTCTGGGTTGTAGAAGATGGAATATAAAATCCACCTAGAAAATGGAATTATTTCTGTTGATGGCCGGTCACTATGTAGGTCAATATATATGTGAAAATTGACCCTTTATGGACATTACAATGCGGCGTCGCCCAGAGAGTTAGACCCGCTCCCATGTACTGAAGACCTGATTTTTATGATTATATGTTACAAAGCCGCCAATATTTTTCAATGACTGGGCTTCGTTTAATTAATTTTCAACTACATTATGATGGATGTTTCCATAAATGAATGGTAATAACTACACATTGTCTCTTTAAATTATTCATTCAGTCAGTCCCTGATGCTCACCCACCAAACTTTATAACCATCCAGCTAGCGGAAAATGGTTAGCATCTTAGGTGTGTTCTTGCTGTGTCGTATCTCTAATTCCATGCTGTAGTTCTTTTTTAAAACACAGCAGTTTTGTTTACCTGTTTTCCCGCTACTTTTCGTTTGCGGCTGCAAACTTCCTCAGTTTCCTTCCTTCCTTCCTCAGGAAGTTTGCAGCCGCAAACGAAACGTAGCGGGACAACAGGTAAACAAAACTGCTCTGTGTTTTAAAAAAGAACTACAGCATGGAAATGGTTAGCGTTTTGGTACTCACAGCACTGGCTCTCCATCGGGTGGCTTTAACGTTAGAATGGCACTGGATTGAAGAAGTAATCCATCTTACCACTCAAAGTAAAAAAAAACAAACTTAATCAGCTCATGGAGCTGAAATTCTATTTACCTGTGCATTTGTAGTAATGGAAGCAGGTAACTATAGGCGTCTCGTCCTTACAACTTTCAGTGGAGGCTTACAGCTGTGCTCCATCATAAAGTAGTCCCAAGTCTAAAATGGTGCCTATGATTCCTGTGTGTTACTTATTATTTTCACTTGCAGTCAGTCTGATTATTGAGGTCACAAAGCCGAATTAAAATCACTATTGAGTAACTTTATTGACTTTTTCACACTGAAGGCCAGTTGGTTCCATTTTCTTACTTTGTTTTATGCTAAAGCGAAGAGTACAGCCGGATCAGAAGAATGACTGGACTGATTACAAACAGTTTTTTCTTACTTATCAAACTATGGGAAATATGGAAACAGATTAAATTTTACTTTGGGGTGGCAAGATTGTACTACATTTTGTAAAGAGACTGATTTTTTTTCTCCTTATCTTTGATGTAGCTTTAAAATAATTATTGTTGTCTTCTTGGGAATATTAATATTAAGGAGGAGAAGGGGCAAGGCGATGTCTTGTGAGGCCAGGTGCCTTGACATTAAATACAACAGAATGTCACCTAGGACCTCTTAGCCATCAGCCATGGCTGATTCAAAATCAGTGTAGAGCAGAGTTTTAACCTGAAGAGGGAGAAATAATTACGGTTTTTGGCTGAAATAAAAATTTTTAAACAAGATGCATGAAGATGCCAAAATAATAACTGCACATGTCTACAGGGGGATGTTGGAAGCTGACCGCCTCCATTTGGAAAACCACCTGCTTTATTTCACTGTGGAGGCCATTGGCAGCTCTTTTAATGGCAGATTGAGACATCCAAGATGTAAAAGGGAATGCTACCATAGGTCATTCACTCCCACTGCAGTAAGACTATATAACTCCACTACTGGGCTGCATGGTGGTGCAGTTGTTAGCACTGTTGCCTCGCAGCATGTAGGCCGCAGGTTCAAAACTCAGCGGTGGCCTTTCTGAGTTGCGTGTTCTCCCCATGCATGCGTGGGTTTCCTCCGGGTACTCCGGTTTCCCCCACAGATCACAACATGCCCTATAGGTTATAAATTGTTAGTCGCTTTGGATACAAGCATCTGCCAAATAAATAAACATAAATAAACATAAACATACCTAACTGGTACTGGCATTATCACTTTTCACTCTAACATCAGTGCTATATCAGTACATGTGCAATACCCGGATGTACACTTCTATGCCTGTGTCCTTTATGCTGTTTCTTTTTGGAGACTCAGTTTTCAATTTTTATTTGTTATTCTAATTGCTGAAGGTTACAATAATAGCCTACGCCCCTGTGTATTTACCTGTATTAGTGTTTTCCTATTTACGTGTATGTGCTGCCTTAACAAGTGCATTTTCCCCACGTGGGATCAATCTATACTATTCTATTCAAACTCTATTGTTTAAAAGGTAAAATAGAAAGTAAGTAAAAATTTATAACAAAAGAATTTAAACAATAAACTCCAACTCACTCTCATTCACAATAAAGCTTAAAAAAACTAATTGATGTGTATTTTTTAGAGAAATCCAACGTAAGTACAGTATTTAACCCAGAACATAGTATTATCGAAATATACTTTCTGGTAGGAACTGACCACTTGTTTGCTATAAGGTCACTAATGTAGGCTATAAGACATAACACGATAAGAACTGTTATGCAGTGAAAATAAATGTAAAATGTAAGCATTTGAAAAAACTTTCTCTGCTATACTAATGTGCCATTTAGCCAACCAAAACACACAGAATAAAAGGCAGAAAGAAAGAGTCTCACTCGACTTTGCAAAAGTTGGCAGCCCTGTCTCAGGTGCAAGATTCTGCATCAGTGGACAGGATTCTGGCGCTGTGCAGCGAAAATGTCTTTTATTGTGTCTACTGCCATCTACTGGCATAAAATGAGTTGCATGTAAAATATTTGTACTATCACCCTTTTCAGATTTTTTTTGAATATATATATATATTTTTTTACATGATATTTTATTGGGGAATCCTGCACTACACAATTTCTTCACACTTCAAAAACAAGTTATTTATTTAGCAAAAAATGGTATATTCTCAGATATATGTTAATGTCTAGAAGAGATTAATAATTTTACTTTCTGTCCAAAAGTCCTAAAATTTATGAGCAACCTGAAGTTTAACAGCTACCTATTAATGATTAATAGAGATATGAGCACTGTTAATTTAAAAATGTAACTTTTTTAGACAAAAACTAAAAATCTGTTTTTCTCTATTTTTCCTAGGAGAAGTCTGATTGGTTACTGTAGAGGCACGTGACAACCTTTAAGCCAATGAAAATCTAGTGTTTGATTCCACTGTCAATAATTAACCAATAAGATTTGGTGTTTTCTTTAGTCCCACCCACTGCTAGCTAAAAGTATATGCGAGGACGCTTCACTGTCAATCTACAGGTTAGTAGAATGAGATAAAAATCAGTCTGAATTATTAGTTTTTGTCTCTTTTTACTCCTCATATTAAAGCTTTTCCACAACCGCTTGATATATTTCATTGTTCGCTATTTGATTATAGTGATATTTAAGTTAACTGCCTCTTTTTATTGTTTCCTGTAGCTAACTGTGGAGCTAACCAGTGCTACATTGCTAATGTTTTTGCTTTTTAAAACGTTTAGTTAGTTTTTTCTAACTAGGAAATAATCCCACCCGCACTGGGTGATAATGTGATTGACGGAAGTCGCGTGTCTTCCTCCTGCAGGTCCGTAGAGCTCACCATCAGCTGTTGTTCTGCATCAACATGAGTGATCCTTGGCAGGAGTGTATGGAGTTTTGTAAGGAGCTCACCAAACAGGCAGGGAAGGTAAGGACGCTTCATTTAAACTGACTATTTTTAACGATCTGACCCAGAAATGTAAGAGAACTTCAGACGTGGATTCAGTTCTGTCAGTTTCACTTGGAGGTCAAAGGCATGCAGCTTCTATTATTATTGATACTTTGTCAACAAGGATGCATAAAAAGTAGATTTGTACAGTTTAGAACAAAAATATTCAGATGCTGGAGCTTGTCTGTTTAGTCAGGACATTTGTGAAACATCAGCAGTCATGGATGTCATAATTAGATGTCTCATAGAGAAATTAGGACCACCTGTCAACATGTCACCTATCACCCTGTTAGAGCAGCAGATGTAATTAGCCTATGTTGTGCTTCTACCAGATGATCTGCGAGGCGCTCCAGAAGGACATAGCTGTCATGCAGAAGAGCTCACCAGTTGACCTGGTGACCGAGACGGACCAGAAAGTGGAGCAGCTCATTATTTCTTCCATAAAAGAGAAATACCCCACACACAGGTACTCTGCTTCACTGGAAACAGACCAGAAGCATGTGAACATAAACACGCAGTGATAATCAGATCACAGTTTTGGTCTGATTGTTGCTGCATCAGACCGCTCACCATAATATAAAACATGAAAACATTGTAATAATAAAATATTTGATTTATTAACTGAACTCATTCAGTAACTTGCTGCTCAAAACCATGTGCACCGCATTTATTTAGTTATTTTCCTCATTTAATTTTCTAAGTCTGAATTAATGAGTATCTCAGCAGAACATTAATCTGCATTTACACTTTTTGCCCTAACCCTTCCATAAGAATTACTTGATAAACTAAAAAAAAAAAAAAAAACGGGAGAAGTTATGAACTTGTTGCTCAATTATTATTAAAAAAAATCTAAATCACAGTTATTTTTGGTCATTGTAAAACTTACCTTACAGAATTACTCATATTTTAAACAGATTGATTATTTGTGTTCATGTCATTTGATTAAAACTGAAGATTGAACTAAAAATAACTTATCATACAACAATTATTAAAATGAAATATTTCAGCCTATTTATGATAGATAATATATCAAACAAATATTTTTGTAACATCAGGCTGAAACACACGCAGAGACCATCTAATTAAACCTAATATCCTACCACGCTGCTATAACAGAAACCTGTAGGTCCAATCAGGGAGTCGGTTTTCAACATGCTGCCTGTGTGTTGTCCCCTTGTTCTGCCATCTTTACTTGAGCTATTGTTTTAGACTTCATTATAAGTCACGTGTGAGTTTAGCCTACAGAAGGGAAGGAAGTGTGTATCAGTCGTAAAGCATTTCAAAATAAGAGCATGCTTACGAAGCGGAATGTGACAAAGTAACTAATTTTTTCTGATCGTTTGAAGCAGAAATCAAAGTTAAAATTCAAATCTGAAAGTTTACCAACGCAAATAAATGTAGAAATGTTTTTTTTAATTCTGTGAGTGAGGTGTCGGGACGATTGGCTCCCACCTCCTCTGTTCTCCCTTTTGTTTCCATGGCAACAGCAGAAAGATGGAGTTAATGCTGCTTTGATTACAGGACTTTTCTCCATGTTTACATATTAATGCACTTAAATTTTACATTTATATTTAAAAACAAAGGCAGCAGATTGTTTTACAGACGTCCCCTGATGAACGTATTTGAGGCTGTAATAGAAAAAGAAACAGCTTTAATGTTCACTATAATTAATTTTACAGTCATGTGATACAGTCTTGTGTTTCATTCTGAAGCTTCATCGGAGAGGAGTCGGTGGCCGCGGGCGCCCCCAGCGTCCTTACGGACAATCCCACTTGGATCATCGACCCCGTCGATGGAACCACCAACTTTGTCCACAGGTACGGCCGAGCTGGGCTCAGTTCTGCCTCAGCAGCCCGATACCTCGCTCGCTTCTATCTTCCTCCCTTTTTCCTATTTTTATCTTTTAATTAGCTTTCTTTCCTGGGATTGTCCTCTCTCGGATTGTCTTCAGGGATAATTAGACAGCCTGACTGATAATAGAAACCGACTCTTCAGCTGAAATCCAAAGGGAGTTCATTAAATGGGTGTTTCATATTGATCCTGTCTGTTGTTCAGGTTCCCCTTTGTGTCTGTATCAGTTGGATTCACCGTGCATAAAGAGGTGAGCTTTAATTTATGCAAATCCCACATTTTTCTGCTGTGATTTCCTGATAATCAGGGATATTAGCCCTGCTGTGAGTTCTGGCTCTAATCTGCTTGCGTTGCTGTGGTCTCAGATAGAGTTTGGGATCGTCTACAGCTGCATGGAGGACAAGATGTACACCGCACGGAGAGGGAAGGGTGCTTTCTGCAATGGAGTCCCAATCAAGGTGTCCGGGCTGGAAGGTGAAAACCGGTCTCATCAGAGCCTGGAGCTGCAGTTCTGAGTAAATCCACCAGGTGGAGCTGAGCTTCTGCTTCTGTTTCTCCCCAGACATCAGCCAGTCGCTGGTGCTGACAGAAGTGGGCTTCAAGCAGAATGCAGAGCACTTTACGGCCATGATGGACAACATCAGGACCATCCTGACCATACCTGTTCACGGGTTAATAAACCCCATAAAGTCCTCTGCTTGGTTCAGACCTGGAAACACACTGTTGCTTTGGCTGTTTTAAAACTTTATTTGGTCACATTCAGTTCAGTGCTGGCCAGTCCTGCTGACTGTGTGCTCCCACACCTGCTCCAGGATCCCGTTTAGATGACCGTTCACCAGATCTTCAACACATCACTCAAGGTTCTGACCCAATTCTGTCATTTTTCTAACCCCTAGGATCCGCTGTCCAGGCAGCGCTGCTGTAAACATGTGTCTGGTAGCCTCTGGGGTGGCGGACGCCTACTACCACATGGGCATCCACTGCTGGGACATGGCCGGCGGGGCGGCCATCGTGACCGAAGCTGGGGGCGTTATCGTGGATATTTCAGGTGAGCGAGTCAGGACAGGCGGAGCGGCTGCTGTTCTCCTCATGAATGGTTACCGAGGGTCCGCCCTCCTGCACATAAACATCTGTGATGTCAGCCAAAGCTGGCTGAAGCCCTCCGTGGTCCAGATGGGAGTTTAGAAAACAGCCAGCATGACTTCTTTGTATCTAAAACTAGTTTATGAATGGTTTATGAACTAAAACACGAGCATCGACCCCACGGACAGACGGGGACCTCCTGTTGCTATTGGCATCATTTTATTTACAGCAGCATCAGCATCTTCAGGTGGTCTCTGAATGTTTGGAGGTGAGGAAACCTGAGTGGGAGCGTTTACAGATGTCCAGCTGTGTCCCAGCTCCGCAGACGGAGAGTTTCCTCTGACTCTTTCACCTTTGACCTCTTAAGACAGCGAGCTTTTTCATGAGTTTAAATGGGATTATCAAACATACATCATCAAAGGTTTTAAGGGGATTTTTCAGCCACTTCCCATTCTTCCTGAACAGCCTCCGTTTGGAGAAATTGAGTTTCTGTATTGCCCAGAGGGTATTCCATCCATCCATCCATCCATCCATCCATCCATTAATTTTTATGTGCTTATTCGGAGTCGGGTCACGGGGCAGTAGCCTAAGTCGAGAAGCCCAGACTTCCCTCTCCCCAGCCACTTGGGCCAGCTCTTCTGGAGGAATCCCAAGGCGTTCCCTGGCCAGGTGAGAGACATATGGGGCATTCCCATCTGTACCAGGTCGGCCCGGGCCGGGTAGCGTAGGTTGTTTACATATCTGGGTGGCCTGGTATTTTTCCGGGCCAACCAAGGCTCATTCTCAGCCCTCTTCTCGAGGGGGTCTGCTTCAGGCCGACCAGGGCCAACACACCCACTGCTGACAGCAAATTCACACCTTCCATTAGAGCAAGCCTCTGATTGGTGGGTAGAATCAGCCCACATGGGCTTTAGACAAGGATGTGTGGAATCAACCGGGCCAGGCTGGGGCCGACTGGGGCTACCCTGCCCGGGCCGACCCGGTACAGATGGGAATGGCCCAATAGTCCCTCCAACGTGTCCTTGGTCTCCCTTTAGGCCTCTTCCCGGTTGGACGTTCCTGGAAAACCTCACCAGGGAGGCGTCCAGGAGGCATCCTCACCAGATGCCCAAGCCACCTCAACTGGTTCCTCTCAATGTGGAAGAGCAGCAAATCTGCTCCGAGCCCCTCCCGGACGACTGAGCTTCTCACCCTATCTGTGAGGGAGACCCCTGTCACTCTGTGGAGAAAGCTCATTTCGGCAGCTTGTATCCGTGATCTCGTTCTCATTCCAGCCCAGAGGGTAATCTAAACATTAAAAGCCAAAAACCTCCATCACATCCTTCAGGATTGATGTGCTAACAGCTAGTTTTAGACCAATGCTATCTGTGAGCATCTCCAGTACCAAAATGTGAAAACCCTCCTATTGAATTTGTGAAGTCATGATTACATGTAAACAACAGTGAAGAGCTTTGATCTTCGGCTGAAGGACACAAAAAGCTATGTTTCTGAGCTGAGGCTGCTCCAGAAGCTTTCTACAAAACTTAACTCTTCTCCGTTCACCAGGTGGGCCGTTTGACCTGATGTCTCGCCGGCTGATCGTCGCCAGCAGCAGGACGATCGCCGAGCGCATCTCCAAAGCGTTAACCCAATTTCCCGTGGGCCGCGACGACAAGGACGACTAGTGAAACCTCCCCTCACTGTTGTCGTGGAAACCATCAGCTGTTTGCGGTCTCACATCCGTCTCTGCCGTAAGGATCAAAACGATGCTCTTACCTCTACAGACAAGGGAGGCGGTCTGCTGAGTTCAGACTTTAGTTTAATGTTTTTATTTCTGCATAAAGTCCTTGTTTTTTTTTTTGTAACTTATAAGAAATGCACCTGTTTTTACTGGATTCTTTTATTCATTTAGACATAAAATACCTCACGTTTGGACCACTGTTGTCTTATAATCAAAGGTATTTAAGTTAATGTTTAGATGATTTCTGCTGCACTTTACAGGGAGTGCAGAATTATTAGGCAAATGAGTATTTTGTCCACATCATCCTCTTCATGCATGTTGTCTTACTCCAAGTTGTACAGGCTCGAAAGCCTACAACCAATTAAGCATATTAGGTGATGTGCATCTCTGTAATGAGAAGGGGAGTGGTCTAATGACATCATTACCCTATATCAGGTGTGCATAATTATTAGGCAACTTCCTTTCTTTTGGCAAAATGGGTCAAAAGAAGGACTTGACAGGCTCAGAAAAGTCAAAAATAGTGAGATATCTTGCAGAGGGATGCAGCAGTCTTAAAATTGCAAAGCTTCTGAAGCGTGATCATCGAACAATTAAGCGTTTCATTCAAAATAGTCAACAGGGTTGCAAGAAGCGTGTGGACAAACCAAGGCGCAAAATAACTGCCCATGAACTGAGAAAAGTCAAGCGTGCAGCTGCCAAGATGCCACTTGCCACCAGTTTGGCCATATTTCAGAGCTGCAACATCACTGGAGTGCCCAAAAGCACAAGGTGTGCAATACTCAGAGACATGGCCAAGGTAAGAAAGGCTGAAAGACGACCACCACTGAACAAGACACACAAGCTGAAACGTCAAGACTGGGCCAAGAAATATCTCAAGACTGATTTTTCTAAGGCTTCATGGACTGATGAAATGAGAGTGAGTCTTGATGGGCCAGATGGATGGGCCCGTGGCTGGATTGGTAAAGGGCAGAGAGCTCCAGTCCGACTCAGACGCCAGCAAGGTGGAGGTGGAGTACTGGTTTGGGCTGGTATCATCAAAGATGAGCTTGTGGGGCCTTTTTGGGTTGAGGATGGAGTCAAGCTCAACTCCCAGTCCTACTGTCAGTTTCTGGAAGACACCTTCTTCAAGCAGTGGTACAGGAAGAAGTCTGCATCCTTCAAGAAAAACATGATTTTCATGCAGGACAATGCTCCATCACACGTGTCCAAGTACTCCACAGCGTGGCTGGCAAGAAAGGGTATAAAAGAAGAAAAACTAATGACATGGCCTCCTTGTTCACCTGACCTGAACCCCACTGAGAACCTGTGGTCCATCATCAAACATGAGATTTACAAGGAGGGAAAACAGTACACCTCTCTGAACAGTGTCTGGGAGGCTGTGGTTGCTGCTGCACGCAATGTTGATGGTGATCAGATTAAAACACTGACAGAATCCATGGATGGCAGGCTTTTGAGTGTCCTTGCAAAGAAAGATGTCTATATTGGTCGCTGATTTGTTTTTGTATTGTTTTTGAATGTCAGAAATGTATATTTGTGAATGTGGAGATGTTATATTGGTTTCACTGGTAAAAATAAATAATTGAAATGGGTATATATTTGTTTTTTGTTAAGTTGCCTAATAATTATGCACAGTAATAGTCACCTGTACACAGATATCCCCCTAAAATAGCTAAAACTAAAAACAAACTAAAAACTACTTCCAAAAACATTCAGCTTTGATATTAATGAGTTGTTTGGGTTCATTGAGAACATGGTTGTTGTTCAATAATAAAATTATTCCTCAAAAATGCAACTTGCCTAATAATTCTGCACTCCCTATATATAATCATGTATTCTGCAAATGTGCAACTATTGTACTGTATTTATTCCTTTTCAGGTCCAAAACACACACAAAAAAACCCTGAAAGTTACACATTTGATGTCTTTTGCACTTGAAAAACAAATAAAAAGCTCTATAAATGTAATTCAGATTCATGTTTAGTCATATTTTTGAGTTGCAGTCAGATTTAACTTCCAGCCCTCCAGAGGCCGTTTTCAGCGTGGGCCTACATGCCACAGTCATAAAATAGACATAAACAATTAGCAGAAAATCTCTGCAGGAAATGTGTTGAAAATCCCACAACTTAAACATTGATGCTCTGTGTAAAGACTTGTCGGCTTTAATGAAAGAAATCACCCTCATGTTCCCAAACCTTCCTGCATGATTCTGCTCCACTTCCAGAACAAAAGACGCTCCTCCCCCTTGCTTCTCCTCTGTACCCTTGTAGCATCCTGTTTCCCAAATCCACACTGTGATGCTGCTTTGACCTAGAAAAGTGATAAATCTATAAAGTAAAGGCACAAGCTAGAAAAAATGTCTCTGGTGGCGAACGGGGAAAGAGCATAAACAGAGAACAGGCCCCTGGACAGAGAAAAATGGTAGAAAAAGCAGCTGTTGTGATTTAGTGGAGATAAAAGTCATTACTCCATGTAAAATCCCCTCCGCTGCATTTCTCCTGCCCTTTCTTTCAGTCAGCGCTGCCATCTCCTCCCAGGCCGATATGTTCTATTAAAGATGCCATGCTCTCCCTAGTCTCCGCAGACTTCCCCTTTCCCAACAGTTTGTGTTTGCAGATGCCTAATAAATGGTTTTAAAGCACTTCAGTTGTGCAAACCCAGATTTTATGTGTTGTAAGAATCAGCAGTGCGTGTTTAGAGCCGAAGTCGACCAGTTCCCCACCACACATCTGCACAAATCCCAAGATCTTATTGTACTCATTGTAGAAAACTTTGATTGATTCCAGTTTGGAGATTTATTTTTGACAGTATTGATGTGCTAATGGCTAGGCTGGGTGAGGTCAAGACTAAAGTGAGTTTCTGCCATCTTCAAACTGTTTTTAATGGATTTTCTAAGCATTTGTCACATTAATATTGTTGTTCACTTACTAAACAGCCTCTGTTTTGATAAATTCTGTTTACCTCCTATGGGACTGACACGCTAACGGCTAGTCCTAATCTAGCCAAGACCAAAGTAGATTTATGACTTCTCAAAACAACTAAAGGCATTTTGACGTGTGCTTCTGTTGTAAAGCTATAAGCAGGGATGGACTGGGACAAAAACTCAGCCCTGGCATTTCTCGGTCCCTCCGGCTTGTCAGGAGGTGGGTGGGGGGGTGGGGGGGTGCTCACAGACATTTCTCCAGCCGTCAGAGCGGGGTTGGGGATGTGGATCGGATTGGTCCCCATCCGTTTGAGGAATTTCAGTCTGGTTTTAGAGAGCATCACAGCACTGAAACTGCATTAGTGAGAGTTACAAATGATATTCTCATGGCCTCAGATAAGAATCTTGTGTCTGTTCTAGTCTTGTTAGATCTCAGTGCTGCCTTTGACACAGTTGATCACAATGTTCTTTTAGAAAGACTTGAACATGTTGTAGGGATCAAAGGAACAGCGTTAGGCTGGTTTAAATCCTACCAGTCTGATAGATTTCATTTTGTAAATGTACATGACAAATCTTCATACTCCAGGGTTACTTGTGGAGTACCACAGGGTTCAGTGCTTGGACCAATTCTTTTTACTGCATATATGCTCCCAATTGGAAAAATCATTATACAGCACGGGATAAACTTCCACTGTTATGCTGACGATACTCAGTGATATGTATCCATTAACCCTGATTAACCTAATCGGTTAGTTAGATTACAGGCTTGTCTTGAAGAAAGAGAAAATTGGATGACTCAAAACTTTTTGCTTTTAAATCAAGACAAGATTGAAGTTCTCATCTTTGGACCAGAAATTCAGAAAAGGAAATTGCTTAGTCAATCACCTGACCTGAATGGCATTAAATTAGTCTCCGAGAACAAGGTAAGGAACCTTGGTGTTATCTTTGACCAGGACATGTCATTCAAATCCCAGGTTAAACAGGTTTGTTGGATTTTCTTTTTCCACTTTCGGAATATTGCTAAGATTAGAAGCATCCTTTCCAGGAGTGATGCTGAGAAACTAGTTCATGCATTTTTTACATCAAGACTAGATTACTGTAATTCATTGCTCTCAGGAAGTCCACAGAATGTAGTTAAAAGTCTTCAGCTTGTCCAAAATGCTGCAGCTAGAGTTCTGATGAGAATTAAAAAGAGAGATCATATCTCTCCTGTCTTAGCTTCCCTACATTGGCTGCCTGTTAAATTCAGAGAATATTTTAAGATCCTCCTTCTCACATATAAAGCTCTTAATAATCAATCCAATCCAATTTTATTTATATAGCACATTTAAAAACAGCATGTCAGCTGACCAAAGCACTGCACAGAGTTAAACCTAAAAACCTATTCAAATTCACATACATACACATTAAACACAGATTAAAACTGTCATGAAATAGAAACACCTAAAATCAGAACAAAAGTTTAAAACAGCCAATAAAAAGAGAAGTCAATAAAAACAGAAGTCAGTAAAAACAGAAGAGAGTCACAGCATAAAAGACCGATCATTGACCAATAGCTAAATTAAAAAAATGTGTCTTCAGGCTGGATTTAAACTGTGCCAGTGAAGAAGCTTGGCGAACTACCAGAGGGAGTGCGTTCCAGAGTCTGGGGGCAGCAAAGGCGAACACACGCTCCCCACGAGCTTTATACTTCATTGTAGGGACTTTGAGCAGTAGATGATCAGCAGACCTTAGTGACCGGGGGGGGGGGGGGGGGGGGGGGGGGGGGGGCTCTCTGACAGGTATAAGGGGGCTAGACCATTCAGGGCTTTGTAGGTAAAAGTTAGAACTTTATGTTGAATTCGAAATTGCACAGGAATCCAGTGTAGGTCATCCAGAATGGGAGTGATGTGACAGAGTTTATTTGCATTGGAAAGAAATCTGGCTGCAGCATTCTGGACTTTATGCCGCGCCTCTTTCGGAACCATACTGGACGCGGGGCGGTGAGCAGAAATGCTGGGACCGTAGCAAACAGCGAGCCAAAAGACCTTCCAAACTCACGACTGTGGAACTGAAGTGATCCGAGGGTCTGCCGGAGATCGACGAGGGTAAGTCGGTCGTATGAGATAACAGTACTGGATTCTGTAATGCAGCAGTTTGTAAACACAATAATAAGAAACAAAAACAGGAGAGGCAGACGAGCAGCTATTACAGCAGGCACCATCATACACCACCAATCACTCAAGCGCCATCATACATCAGTGACCTGATTGTTCCATACCTTCCTAACCAAGCACTTCGCTCTCAGACTGCAGGTTTACTGGTGGTTCCCAGAATATCTAAAAGAAGGATGGGAGGCAGATCTTTTAGCTATCAGGCTCCTCTCTTGTGGAACCAACTCCCAGCTTTAGTCCGTGCAGACACCTTGTCTACTTTTAAGACTAGGCTTAAAACATTTTTATTTGATAGGGTCTATGGTTAAAATCTGATGATAGACCAGATCTGGATAAGTGGGGAGTAGAGGGAGGTGGAGAATACAGTCAGTAAAGACGGCTCTCCCTTGCCCTGCATCCAACATGCCTCCATTTAAAAAGCTAGGTCATCCAGAGTTTTCTCTGTAGTTATGCTGCTATAGGCTTGGACTGCTGGAGGACATACTGACCACTTTCCACACTCTACTACTTTCTTCTACAGTCTGCTCTTTAACTGTATTATTTCCTGCTATTTCAGCTGTTAACTTTATTTTTTCTCTTTTATGTTTTTCTCCCCAGAAGAAGCTACAATGGTGTTCTGCTTAGCTGTGGTGCCCTCATGGAGGGGACCATTGGCTTAAACCATGTTGATAACCACTTAAACATTCTCCCTCTCCTGATAATAACATTTTACTTTCTTTGACATTGAATGTGCCACTACTAGTTTACCCGTTTAATTATATATTCACTAGGATAAATACAATACAGTTTATCTCTCACCAAATAGAATATTTACTAAGAAATCACAATGTAACCATAGAAGCATTACTTGGTTTATATGCTGTGTGTGTGACATTACTTGTCTTTGTGTGTGCGTGTGCTTGTGCGTGTGTGTGTGCGTGTGTTCTGTCTTCTCGATCCCCAGTGAGTCGTGGTGGATGGCTGCTTATACTGAGCCAGGATCCTCTGGAGGTTTCTTCCTGTTAAAAGGGAGTTTTCCTCTCCAACGTCGCTAAATGTTTGCTTAGTATGAGGATTGCTGTAAAGACTCTGACACTAGTCAGTGACTTGAAGAAACCTGCTGGGTTCCTTATATAGGAAACTTTTTTCTGATTGGCTTAATGAACTGACCTGTATTGGAATGTGTACTATGCGAAGTGCCTTGTGACGACTCTTGTGATTTGGCACTAAATAAACTTGAATTGAATGAATTGTATTTGTTTACGGACGTAGCATTTAGCTAGCCCCAAACTCAGCTAAATAGAGTCAGTCAGATATAATGTGTTTATAACACTGTGTGGACAAAGAATATAAACAAATTTGTTTTAGCTTGAATTTGAAGGACATTCTCGTTAATTATCTCCCAACCTGTTCTCTTTTTGTCTCGAATATTTCTAAAAGCCCAACAGCAAAGAAGCCTTTTTATCTTGATCTCAGATGAGTGAAATTCCTGCAACACGTTGAGCGGCAGGTCAACCACAGAGTAAAGCACATTTTAGTCCTTAAATCTTATGGAAACATACCTTAAAAACGACATAACTAAAGAAATGTGAGAAATAAGAAGGTGTTGGAAAAAAAGTCAATCGTTTTCTCCTCGAAAAAATGCAACTTAAAATTAGCATCTTTATTGTTTTTCTTTATACTAAAACCCTCACTGCCCCAAATTAACAAAAAAAAAAGGGTGCAAAAATAGAAGTTTTGTTGCATTTTATTAAAAACATTTACTTATTTTATTTGCTTAAATCAAAATTTTAAAGTCCTGACAAAATAAGGATGTTGTGTATTTTTTCCCCTTAAATTTGTCCTAACTGTAAGAAAAATCTTGGCACAAATCAAGGAAACACTGAAGTATAAATCAGAATCAGAAAAACTTTATTTATCCCAGAGGGGCAATTAAAAAAAATAACAGCAGAGCAGCATGATGTTGGACATACGAACATTGAATAAATAGGCAATAAGGAAGTAATAAAGCAGCAAGAAGATGGATAAAACAGAAACATATGCAAAAAACACTGAGATGGATAAAACAGAAAGTATGCAAAAATCACTGAGTAAGTGACTAAAGTGTCGTCTGTATAAAAGTTAAATATATGGAGAGCCCAAGGAGAGGGTTTATCGGGGGATGGTCTTATCTTATCTGCTGGAGTTAAAGAGCAGAATGGCTTTGGGGACAAAGGTGGCTCTCCTCCTCAGTCTTGCAGGAAATGCAGCGCAGGCGTCGCCCAGAGGGGAGCCATTGAAAGTAAAGTAAGTAAAGTAAAAGTTTATTTATATAGCGCCTTTCACAGATATAAATCACAAAGCGCTGTACAACATGATAAAGATCAGGGCAAATACCTCTAACCAATAAAAACATCAGAAAAACAATAGCAGTGATAAAATAGAAAATAAAATCATGAGTATAAACAAAGTGAAGGTGTGAACCCGAACAAAGCCATCTTTTTGAAACATTTAGGGAGGGAACGCCTGGATGAAAAGGTGAGTTTTTAGATGATTTTTAAAGACCTCTACAGTGTTAGAAAGATGGAGATTAGAAGGCAGACTGTTCCAAAGTCTGGGTGCAATAGTCTGAAAGGCCCTGTCCCCTTTGGTTTTCAGTCTGGTTCGAGGAACAGCCAGGAGGTTTTCAGATGTGGATCTAAGGTTCCGAGAGGTGGTGTGTGGGGATAAAAGCTCAGATAGGTAGCTTGGAGCCTGGTTGTTAAGAGCTCTATAGGTCAGCACTAAAACTTTAAACTGTATTCTATATTCTACAGGGAGCCAGTGGAGGGACTGTAAAACTGGAGTGATGTGAGCTCGTCTGCTGGATTTGGTTAGGAGTCTGGCTGCTGCATTTTGGATGGCTTGAAGGCGTGAGAGGGAGGTTTTGCTGAGACCAGTAAAAAGAGCGTTACAGTAGTCTAAGCGTGATGACACAAAGGCATGGATGATTTTTTCCAGATCTGCAGTAGAAACCAGTTTACGGACTTTTGAAATGTTTCTCAGTTGAAAGAAACAAGAGCGGGAGATGGTTTTGACGTGTGAGTCTAAACTTAAAGCTGGATCAAAAATAACTCCTAGGTTTCTAATGTTGGCCTTGGCTGATGGGCAAAAAGAGTCAATTTCTTGCTCGATTTTTGGCTGAAGTTTCGGGGGGCAGCGATCAGGGTCTCTGTCTTGTTAGCATTTAAGACAAGAAAGTTGCTGGACAGCCAGTTACTGATCTGGGTCAGGCAGAGTACAAGGGTGGCCAGCCTGTCCAACTGGTGTGGCATAAAGGACATATATGAAATGCGGGGTGAAGAATGTGAGAGGGGTAGGATTTTGGCGGCCTGTCTCAGGGCTTGTTGATAGAAAACCTGAGCAAGAGTTCTGATATTGTGAACGATTTTGGAACACACTGATGCAGTGTGCTGCAGTCTGTTCCTGTTCTGGAGGCTAACAGAGTAGAACCAACAAGTGATGGAGATGGTCATGATGCTTTCCAGGAAGGCACAGTAAAAAGTCATCATGACTGAGGAGCTGACTCCAAAGGAGTTGAGCTTCCTAAGGAGATATAACCGTTGGTGGCACTTTCTGAGAATCTCTTCTGTGTTAGCAGAGAATTTCAGGAGGTTGTCACTTGTACTCCTCCACTACCTCCACTGGGTTCCCAAAGCAGTTAAAGGTTCCCAAACTGGTTTAAAGCCTGCTAAAGATCACTTATCACTCTAAAACAAAGTCTCAGGATTTCCATTAAACTCAAACTTCACAGTCAAACGACTCAAAGGAGTTTCAAAATAAAATGATCATCTTTCAGGTCAGAGTTGACCTTCAGCAGCCTCTGCGTCGTGGCAGTCCTCAATCACAGCTGTGATCCCGGGGAAGCAAATACCCAAAACATCCTCCATCCGGGATAAATTATTCATAACAGAGCTGCTGGGGAGACAGCAGGACTGTGTGTTTCACTCTCACTTCCCTCCTGATGTCTCCCAAACATCTCAGAGAGGTTTCTGTTTGGTGCACAACCGGGACAACAAGGTGACAACTGCTCTCCTGCTGCTTCCCAACATGGATCTGCTAAGTCTGACACGCGTTTGTTTGTTTCAGCTGCAGCCTGTGCATCAGGATTTCCTGCAGATCCGAGAGGATGATGACACTTCCTGACAGATTTACTGTTGTTTAACAAATCTGTTGCAGAGTGAAGTTGGGTTTAGCTTCATTCTGAATCCACGAGCTGAACATGTGACACACGTGAACCTGCGCCGCGCTAAAGGTGCGTCTGTGTGATGTGTTGAAACACGCAAGTAGCAAAAGCAGACGTGTCAGATGATCCTCATTCATGTGCTTACTTTATTGATTAATTTGAAATATGCATCTAAACTTACCTGGAACGTGGTTTAAAGTCGGTTGTAATGCCCCTGGAGACAAAATCCTGCCATCAAACTTTAGAGACGACTGGAAGTGTGTCTCTAATGTTTCTGTGACCTTCTCTTCTTCACAGATCCTGCTTGAATTCAGCTCAATGGAGGCTTCTCCAGCATGAAACACTTTTTATGGTCAAAGTTTGAAATTTAAAGAGCAAAATTCATGGTTCCAGGTCCTGAAGCAGCACCAGACCATCACACTACCACCACCGTGTTTGACTGGTGCTATCATGTCTGAAATGCAGATGGAAGGGGATGCATTCCTTCCAGAACATTCTACTTTTGTCTCATCAGCTCACGGAGTATTTTTCTCATAAGTCTTGGGAATCATTAAGATGTTTTACTTTTTTTTTCTTTTTTGGGTAAATGGAACACTCCCATTCAGACCTTAATCTTTCAGACCAAGGACAGATGAAACCATAGTGGAACACAGTTTTTCAGAAACTGTCGAGCATGGTGGCAGCAGTGTGATGGTCTGGACATTCCTAAAGGTGAATGCCTGACCTTTGACCTTAAACTGGCCTAGTCACATTGGAAAACACATTATTATAAGTACCTACTGAGGTTAAGGGTCCATTCCTTTACTTTTCATTATTTGAATGGAAACATTCAAGAGAGATAAAGATAAAGCCATACACTTGAGACCTGCAGCTACATCTGAACACTTTTTCTAGCAGCGACTGTCGAGTTTTCTAACCCGAATGTTTGGTCGTGTAAACGCATGCCGGGATATCCCCATCAAAGCGTGTGTTCTGCGCATGCTCTGTTCGCAAGGAATCTTGGTCTTTTGAGTAGAGGGACGTCTTGTATGCGCCAGAATTCCGGAAGTAAACAACAAGTTGGGAGCAACATGGCGAGTCGCCGCACAGCACCACACTTTTGGAGTGACGAGGAAACTAAAGCGCAAACAAACGCGGTCGCTATCTCTTCCGAACTGGGAAAAATGTTGTTGTTTTCACGGATACCAGAACGAGAAGAACCGGAAATGACGCACATTGCGTCTGGACGTAGTCCACACGTCCTGACGCTACCCCAACGTCCGCATTTAAATCGGGAGGTAACTCTTTCTATTTGTGCTTGTAAACGGGTTATTCTGATCAACTCAGAAACCCGAATGCCGACCTTAACCCGGATATTGGCTGCATGTAAACGTACTGCATGTTGTTGCCATTTGTGGATAATGGCTCTCGCTGTGGTTCGCTGGAGTCCCAAAGCTTTAGAAATGGCTTTATAACCTTTACCAGACTGATAGATCTCAGTTACTTTTGGTCTCATTTGTTCTTGAATTTCTTTGGATCTTGGCATGATGTCTAGCTTTTGAGATGCTTTTGGTCTACTTCTCTGTGTCAGGCAGCTCATATTTAAGTGAGTTCTTGATTGAAACAGGTGTGGCAGTTATCAGGCATGGGGGTGGCTACGGAAATTGAATTCAGGTGTGAAACACCACAGTTGGGCTATTTTTTAACAAGGGGGGCAATTACTTTTACACATGGGGCAATGTAGGCTTGGATTTTGATCTCTCCCTAAATAATAAAAACCATCATTTCAAAACTGCATTTTGTGTTTACTTGTGTTATCTTTGACTAATGGTTAAATGTGTTTGATGATCAGAAACATTTTGTGTGACAAACATGCAAAAGAATAAGAAATCAGGAAGGGGGCAAATCGTTTTTCATGCCACTGTATCTCCTAGGCAACCGGGGTGGGGCCAAGACATCAAGGCAAGGTTCCTTGGCATTGAGAAACACCCAAAGTGTCTGGGCGATGCCATATTGGATGCCGTGGTTCCTTCTACAGAAGCTTGTGAGGACAAAATGCATTTACTAATTTGTAACAAATGGTTACAAAACTTTCACCATTAATAAACATTGTTGTTTTACACATTTACCTCTTCACTTATTGCCAGTGATGAAAGGGAATCTGATGTTCTTGTCATTTAGCAGGGATTTTTTACCCTAATGGCCATCCATTGGTAAGGTCTTATTTTAACACAAAAAGAATGTGTGCTTGCAATGATTTAGGTATCTACTGCCCCTATCATCAGTGAAAATGCACACTGCCACTTTAATTTTTAAAATGCAATCTTCCATCTAAACTGTTTTGTTTGGAGAATGTAAACAAATGTTGATATTTGGGACATTAACTTTGCTGCATTTTAGCAGGGAGGACCCACCAGACCTTTCCACCCATAGGTCTGGCAGGCCGGACGTGGCCCACAAGCCGCCAGTTGAAGTTCACTGCAAAAAAGTGACAAAGGCAAAACTGCCTCAAAGATTTTTGTCTAAAAAGGTAAAAACCTCCACCTGCAGCTTGCTGGAAATTTTCTTTTTTTTTTTTCAGTTTATCTTCAGCTGTTTGGTGAATCATTGTTTGGTGAATCATCACGTCTTCATGTGGGACCTCCAGAGCTCCACAAAACTTTCCACTTTCTCTCTCAATCAGGTACAAATATGGGAGAGGTGGTGTGTGTGTGTGTGTGTGTGTGTGTGTGTGTGTGTGTGTGTGTGTGTGTGTGTGTGTGTGTGTGTGTGTGTGTGTGTGTGTGTGTGTGTGTGTGTGTGTGTGTGTGTGTGTGTATAGGTGTGTGTAGGTGTGTGGTGGGGTGGGGTGGGGGTGGAGCACCATGGTCATGTAGTTGCAGGTCTGGTTTTTTTCCTCTCAGGTGAGAAGAAAATAAGGTTTGGAGGTGGTTCTGCCTTTTTCCTACATTGTTATGCCAGCGTCTTTTAGGAGTTGCCTCCCCTCCACCATGAGACAGTTTATAAGAGACGAGCCACCCAAACCTGCAGGTGACCTGGAAGCCGTTTGACTCCACGAGGTGAGTGTTTCCTCAGACACGCTGATAGGAGTTAGACAGATGTTCTGGTTGAGTTCAACAGTTTCAGGATTAAAACACAGGGTAGGAACTTTATAGTCAGTTAATGATGAATTAGATTTTTTAAAGGAAAATGCAAACAAATTGATTTAATCTCACAGAAGCTTTAAATAAAAACATAAAAGCAAACGATCCAGACAAACATAACGGAGGGGATCTTCCCCCTGGGTTTTGCCTCTCAGGCTATTTAAGTGTGTATTATATTATTTTATAGATTGAATAAGTAGAATTTATCTTGTTTAATAGTTTATTTCAATTGATCAACTTTTCTACTGCTGGGTTGGTTAAACAATATTTTTGTTGAAATGACAGCTAAATTAATGTTTTTTTTCTTTATCTAGATGATTTGCACAACTGAAACTATGAAAAGTATTTGTTCTAACAAAAATCATTTAAACGTCTCAATTCAACTGAATAAAACCTGAATACTTGTCGAAGTTTGGACAGAAATGGAGTTGACTGAGATGTATTAAGAAATGTAAGAATTTCATAAAATTGAGACATTTAACCCTCTGGAGGCAGGCGTTGCAGATTTGCAACATTAAACCCCACCTACCTGGTTACTCCACATACGTATTTCATGAACATTTTTTAACTCAGAAGTACCCCCGAAGGACTTAGTTGTTTGTCCTTTTATCAAAACTCATTTTGAGCCTGAGTGGGTTAAAAACGGCTTATAGAAAGTGTATCCAACAAGTTGTTTTTCGAGTGTAAAAAGGCATTTAATGCAGTTGTAATCAACATTTTATCCAAATTGTGCATTTAGTATATTACTCTTTTTAAAATGTAACTACATAAAAAACTGTAAAAGAGCAAATTTCAACAGAATTTCTTGCAATTCTAATTGATTGCATCCTATTGGATGAGTTTTTTTGAGTGTAATAAAAGAAAATTTTTGTTGAAACCAACAATGTTTTTAGCTATTTTAAAACTAGACAAAATATAATTTTAAAACTATTTTATGACTAGTTTCATCACAATAAAATGTGTTCCTAACTGTAACATGTATTTTAATTTAATTTATTTTTTGTGGATATTTTAAAGGTGTGGTTTACTTGTTTATTCAATACATTTGCAGTGTTCTCTAGTGTAAATCAAGGTCTTATGAATCATTAAAAAAACACTGAGATGCAGAAGTTTACTGTTGCAGAGGTGGGCTGAAAACAGCAGGATTGCTCATTATTATTAACACTAGAACTCCCAGAGATCTGCCAATTGGCACCATTGTTTTCACTTAGCATTTTTAATCACTTGTGAACGTTCACCTTTGTTCTGTAAATCACTTCAGGAGATGCTGGTGCTCCCCTCACCTCCCCCTCTTGCCTGTTTTTTTTTCTAGCAGTCAGGTAAAGAGGTAGCTAGAGAAAAACCAGAGACACAAGACTACTCAACAAGAGTGTCCAGTCAGAGGCTACATGCAGGATAAAATGACAGAGCATACAGGCATCTGTAAAACGTGATTTTTTTTTACAATCACTATGTTTGTAGCCTTTATAGCTTATGTTGCATTCACAACTTGTGTGCTTGTCTGAAGTCTTCACAAAGTCAGTCATAAATTATTTTGGGTGGGCAAGTTCAGTTGACCAGATTCAACAGAAGCCCTTTTTTGTTTTTACTCCTGATTTTGGTTACTATTGTTGTCACTGCTATTGTTTTTATGATGTATTTATTGGTTTGAGGTATTTGCCCTGATTTTACTCATGTTGTACAGCGCTTTGTGATTTATATCTGTGAAAGGCGCTATATAAATAAACTTTACTTACTTACTTACTTACTTTTTACAAAAGGGCCACAAAATACTCAGGCAATCCAAGAAAGCATTATGGTTTTATTAGAACAATAAACCTTCAAATGCACAAGCCTTTTGTGAATGTTTTGTGTTGCAACTCAAACAATTTTGGGGGAATAATGCAGGTTAACTGCAATGCAGGCTTCGATCTTCCAGGTTCCAAAAGAAGGTTCATAACAGCGGCTGCGCAGTGGTACAGTGGTTAGAGCTGTTGCCTTGTAGCAAGAAGGTCCTGGGTTCACTTCCCAGCCTGGGATCTTTCTGCATGGAGTTTGCATGTTCTCCCTGTGCATGCGTGGGTTCTCTCCGGGTACTCCGGCTTCCTCCCACAGTCCAAAAACATGACTGTTAGATTAATTGGTCTGTCTACATTGTCCTTAGGTGTGTGTGTGTGTGTGTGTACATGATTGTTTGTCCTGTGTGTCTCTGTGTTGCCCTGCGATGGACTGGCTCTCTGTCCAGGGTGTACCCCGCCTGATTGCCCGTTGACCGCTGGATATATGCACCAGCCCCCCGTGACCCCACGTGGACAAGCGGGTTCAGAAAATGGATGGATGGATGGTTCATAGCAGCTGTGATGAAGCTGCTTTTCAGGTGTTGAAAACAAGCCAGACTCTCGAAAAGGCTTCAGCTGATCACTTAGATCTGAATACAACTTATTTTTCAGGTTACCTGGCTGCAATTGCATGTAAAAAGAAACAGTGAAAAGTTAAACTTCTTCAATCCTTTGAGTTTTGATGTGATCCGTTCTCTGTCTCTGCTGAAGCTCCTCGAGTTTTTTAGACAAACCCTCAAGGAGGTGGCTGTCCGTCACAGTTCCTGAGAACGGTCTGGCTACTTCTGCCTCTGCTTGTAAAGACAGAAGTTCACAGATCTTGTTGTCACTCCAATTAGCCATGTCCGCTGGTTCTTTACTAACTTTCCCATGTTTACTTCGAAATGTTTTTAAAAAGCGTTCCTGTGGGCAGGCGTGAGCCAAAATGGACCAGGCCATGAATGCCAATTCACAGTGTGACATCTCAGCGTGACAATTTTCAAATCCTAGCATTTCACCGTCTACTTTCTATCAGAGGCTAACGCAGGAGATAGGTAGAGGAGACTGTTTTTATGTTCAGCCTGCATGAATAACTCAGAGTGACTGATTATAATCAATAATAATAATTAAAATGTTTTTTCAGTCGACGACACCTTTAAAGTAGTGTTGTAACAGAGGTCAGATAGTCCTGTTGTCACATTTTTATAAGCATTTTTGTTTTGAGTGCATTTGATAACGTCCATTGTATAAACAACCAGACGTCTGTGTTTAAAGGTGATTCTGCGTCAGACAAAACAGAAAATCACGTTGACGACATGTGGCAGAAGGCTTATGACTTTGCAGTTGAGGTGGCAAGAAAAGCAGGAGAGGTACTGTTAAAATACTATTTTACCAAGAAATGAGAAACTTTGGTGCCTAAAAAGAACAAAAACATTTAATCTGAAGGAAATGTTTGTTACAGGGACTAACTGTGTGCCAATTGTGTATTTTTTTAAACCAGGAAATTCGTAAAGCTGGAGAGAGCGAAATAAAAGTGATGACAAAGAGCTCCTCTGTGGACCTTGTGACTAAGACTGATGAGAGGGTGGAGAAAATCATCATCGGGTCACTAAAGGAGGAGTTTGGAGAGGATGCACACTGGTGAGCCATGCAAACGTTTAACAGCATACCTTTGTATTACTTCATGCTTTTCCTGAGTGGTTTTCCTCTGCGTGTGTTCTGCAGCTTCATTGGGGAGGAATCTGTTGAAAACGGAGAGCCGTGCATCCTATCAGACAAACCTACCTGGATCATTGACCCGGTTGACGGCACCACCAACTTTGTGCACGGGTAAAACTCACTTTTGTGCGGTTTAAACTCTACTTTTTTAGAAAGGATAAAGTCAATATGCCAGTTTTCTTTCATCACGGTACTAAATGAGTATTTTCAGTGCAATAGTTTTGTGCTAGAAAAACACACATTCTGTCTTTTGCATGTGTTGCCAGTCATTTAGTGGTCTTTGGGTTTATTTTAGAGCTATTACAACAGAACCAATGTCATGAAATACTGAAATTTGCAGATCAATAGTTTCTTAAAACAAAATTCTGGCCAATTAGATTTTTTGAGTAAAATCCATCCATTGTCACAACCCGCTTTGTTCACGTAGGGTTGCGGGAGGGGGGGGCTGGTGCTAACCCCAGCGGTCAATGGGCAGTCAGGCGGGGTACAACCTGGACAGAGAGCCAGTCCATCGCAGGTTTTGAGTAAAATTTCCAAATATATTTCCATCTGTTTTGAGAAGTAGCCTTTACATTGGACAGGACTGATCTGCTAATGGCTAGTTAGAGCACAGCTAATGCTGTCACATTATAATGGCTGGATTTCCAAACATTTCACAGCATGCAAATATTTTCTAAACCTTTAGCATGACACTGATATCTCAAAATTCCTGCAAGAGCTAAAATCCCAGGTCTTGCTGCTGGTGGTAAATTTATACAAAATTTAATTTTGGGCTAAACTGCCAGCAGTGAAAATGTTTGAAACATCTGGCATGAACTTCTGAGACTTTGGAGAGTAGACATTTTCAAACCAGACTCAGCTTATCAGTCATATAGGATGTAAAAGCCATTTCTTCAAACGGAGGCATTTCAGGACGTTAGCAACAATGGGTAATACAAAAACGTGTGAAATAGTTTCAATGGTGTAATTATATCATAATAATAATTTTATTGGACAATTTGTTTCCAGATTCCCATTTGTGGCTGTGTCTATTGCCTTTGCTGTCAATAAGGAGGTTGGCTTAATGACATAAATCATTATTATTATTATTATCATTATTATTATCATTACATCTCATACTTACCTTCAAAATATTTATAATTCTTTATAGTTGGAGTTTGGTGTGGTGTACAGCTGCTTGGAGGATAAGATGTACAAAGCAAGACAAGGGAAGGGGGCTTTCTGTAACGATGAGAAGATTCAGGTGTCTGATGTAAAAGGTACAAACATGTTTAGATTTGTAATATTTAATGTTCCTCATGAGCAGCACCAGCTCACAGTTGTGTTTGCTGCAGATATCCACAAGTCCATCATCATCTCTGAGCATGGGACGGACCGCAGCCCCGAAAAAGTCACCAAGATCTTCTCCACCATGCAGAAGATCCTCTGCATCCCAGTGCATGGGTAAGTTTAAATACAACAAATAAACCTACCGTAGCTTAGGTGATGCTAATGTTAAACCAGGAAGTGAACTGAAACTGGTTAAATGAATTCAAATGTCACGTTTAGCTATTTATTAAACACACACTTTAGTATTTTTATATTTATAACAATCCATGGGGACTTTTAGTGTAACTGCTTTTTTTTTTTTACATGAGCAGCTGGTCGAACCACATTTCTGTTACAGACGTTAATCAAGTTTGTTTCTTTGACTGAAATAAGCTCACTCGGGAGAATCAAAGACACTCTTTTGGCATAAATGTGAACCTGACTGGTTTGTTCCAACAGGCTCCGTGGATCAGGAACTGCTGCCACCAACATGTGTCTGGTGGCGACCGGCGCGGTGGAGGCCTTCTTTGAGATCGGCATCCACTGCTGGGACATTGCCGCTGGAGCGGTTATCATCCAGGAAGCTGGAGGAATCCTTCTAGATGTTGATGGTGAGTACCACTGTTTGAAATGCCCTCACATTTTTTTTTTGCATGCCATCGTTGTTTCCTTGAAATGTTTTGGTTGTTAGCACCGGCTAACAAAACGTTGGATTGCTTTGTTATTTACACAGAAATTGTTAGAAATTAGCACTAGTGCTAACTACTGTAGCAGGAATTATGTAGCATATCTGCCAGAGAGTGTTATGAACTTGGGAGAGGACCGTAAGGACACCAGAGCACAGTAGGCAGTAGTAAAGTTTTTATTAGCCTGAAGCTAAGAGGAGACGTTATCGGAGTTGAGTTCAGGTAAAGGCAGAGCCGAGGGCAGGCGTGGGTCGGAAGCAGGATGGGACAAAGCAGATACAAGGAGCAGGCGAGAGACGTGGTCAAAGACAGGCGTGGATCAGAACAAGGTAGGTTCAGGACGTGGTCGTGGAGGCAGGCAGAGTTCTTGGCGAGGGTCAGGCGTGAAACGAGGTCGGTAGGCGAAGATGAGGCAGGATGATAAGGCTGGAAGATCTACTAGCAGGAGCGTTCAATAATCTGGCAGAGTGCTGGTGGTAAACTGTGGATTATATAGCTGGTGAGGCAGGTGTGTGGCATGAGCTTGATGAGGGGACCAGGTGTGATGCATGAAGGCTAATGAGGTGGATGATGGTTGCATAGAGGTCCGAACATGGCAGGATCATGACAGAGGGATCATGAAGTTGTTAGAGATTTGACACGTTCAGTGACACTGTGAACAACCTTTTTGTGGCTAGCAGTTAGTTTGTTAGACCGATTAGAATAAATTTCTGTTTCTCCCTGTTGTGAATTATTATAAGAGCAGGGGGGGGGTTATATTAATGCTAGTAACAAATATAAATGACTATTATGTTAGTTCATGGAAATGTTGAGTTTGAATGTTCACCAAGGACATATTATTTAATTTGATTATTTAGTGATATGAGACAGTATTTCTGATTTGAAATTAGTTAAGAGGCTCAGTATTGTGTAATCTTTAAAACTTCATTACCCATGAGACTTAGCGTGTTCCCAGAAGGCTTAACGAGAAAAACCAGGAAGTAGAGAAAAAACTGGCGCTAAGAGCAGACATGTAACTTTCCTGTAAGGTGTTCTAATTAACTAAAGGTTCGAGTTCAGCAAGACAAAGTCTCGTCTCATTCTTTATTTTGAAGAAGCTCGGTTGAGCTACAATACTCCCTACTGAGGTCCTTCCATATATAAATTAATGAATGTTCTATAAAGACCGCTTTAAAAACTTTGATCAAAGCCCGATTCTCCACAGCTTGGCTTAACATTTGTTGTCTGTTTCTATTTAGGCGGCCCGTTTGATCTGATGTCCCGAAGGATGATCGTAGCAAATGACAAGATCATCGCTAGAAGGATCATCCAAGAAATTGAGATCTTCCCGTCGTTAAGGGATGACGCTCCCATTCAAAAGCACTGAAAGGGACTCTCATTGCTTTTTGAGTATTTTTAAATATGCTGTAGGATTATTTTTAGAAACTGTTTATATGTGTTTCCTGTGTTTAGTTCCTGTGCTGTAATTACAGCTGATTGCCTGCATCTGAAGACTTCATGTGATCCATTTGCTGCACATTTAGCCTTTAATATCATTTCAGTCTCCTGTTTGGAGCTTGTATTAAATGTGATTGCTCCCTTTGTGATCTATCAAAGATCTTTGATTAAAGTAGAAAACGGGCTGTAATTTTGCTCTTAGCAATTTTTTTTACTTCTGCACAATTTTCCTGCCATTTCTTTCTTTTTGCCTTTGGTCAACTGTGTCAGTATTTGCTGCAATGCAAAAACTAAACCTGCTTTTCTGTAAATGTTTTGTTTTTCTGACTTTATTGTGTAGCTGTGGAAAATATTTTCTTCACGTGTATAAAACCCACCACTAGAGGTCAGTGATGTATCAGTAATTAGCCATCCCTGTTATTGCAGCACCTTTTTAAAGCTGCACGTTTTATTGTTTTCACAACACTCTGGGAGTACTTCATCTATAGTTTGGCTTGCAGACACCTTTTCAAACCTGAGAGGAGGAAAAATGCCCAAAGACTCAACATTACTTTTAATTTCTGTGAAGCATTGCAACTTTTCTTCCTGATGACTCCTACCTGAGCAATTGGCTTTGACCAGGAGGAGGGGTGAGAGCAAAAATCAGCTGCAGAGTCGGGAGCCAAGCAACAATAACATCAGCAGCAGGAGGTTGTTCTTCCTTTTGAATCAGGACACGACTCCCAAGCTGGGAAAACTCACCTCCCAGCATTGGGTGTTTCAAAACGAGACCCCTCGTTTGGAATGGGGAGGAAAATAGTTGCACATCAGCTGCTGTTTAACATTTGCTTGAACTTGCCTGAAGTACCAGATGGTGGAAATCTGCCTCGTAGGACAATAAAATAAATGCCAAGGAACAGATTCGTAAAAGTCAATTTCAGCATATTTATTGGGAAATTTGCATGTTTTTCCCACTTTTTGGAGTGAATTTGGTATTCCAGAGCCGGACAAGGCCCAGCATAACTCCAGGCTTCTTTTTCTCTAACATGTTGTGTCATCAAATCCATTTCAGTTGGATGAAGAAATTAATTTTATACTGTACAATATGTTCCAGCTTATAAAGGATGAATTAATGATTTATAATTTAGCGAAACATAGCTGTAAGCAATTATACGGATGTTAAAAAGTCTCCTGCCATTCATCATAAACTCCTCTTCCTCTAATGGATGCATGGGGGGATAATGAGTTATCGACAATGACACAATAGTGTGTTTGTCGATAAGCATAAGTTGTCCCACGAATATAATTAGATGCGTGATCTGCAACAACACACATCATGTCTGCTGATCAGAACCAACAAAGACACGTCTTTGTTAAAGTTAGTATGTCTCACTCTGATGAGTCCATTTAATTTGGGTTCATCGTGAACTTTGACCCCAGTAGCAGATGTTTAAACTCTCTTCACTGAACTTCCTTGTAGTTCTTAATCAATAGTTTATCCAAACTTGAAGATATTTCACAGTTTTTCTTCTGACTCTGGTTGTTATGATTTGTCTCCAGTCTGTGAGCTTTATCGTGTAAAGTTAACATTTTTAACATGGAAGTCAATGGGAACTTGCTCCTTTCTGGAGCCTGCCCCTAGAGGATGAGTGAGGAACTGCTATTTTTGTCACTTCTGTCTTGGCCTCCCGTTTGAGTAGCCCCTGGCTGCCTCCCGGAGATCCGGGCGGGGATAAATGTGGGCGGGATCAAACGTTTACAGGTGGGCGGAGACAACGACTCCTGCTCCTCTTCAATGGAACCAGGAAACCGCAGTAGCCCCCGAGTTAAGGATTAAAAAGCCCTAAAAACCCATGTAAAGCATAACATTGGTAATCAAATTACTTGTTTGCTGGATGTCATGATAATTTTAAAGAAAGGGCAGATAATGAAGTTAAATGAAACAGGCACCATTTTTGATCCAATCTGTTATTTTATTCTTTTTCCTACTTTTGTGTATGGTATGTGTATTTATAGCACATAGGTATTTGTGTCTTTTAGCTTTACTTTTGGTACCTATATAAAAGGTTCAAGCATTTGATAGACGATTCTTTGAACCTGTCAAAACCATTTTAATAGTTGATTTTATCAATGCTGCCTTTATTTTGATAGTCATTTCCCAAGTGAGTGTAAAACAGTATAGGCAGACACGGGTAAACTTGTTGTACACTCAGTTATATCAGCTACATTAAGAGGACCAGAGACTTAAATTGTGCTGATACTTCTGAAAACACACCAGGGTTTGAGACGGGGTGGTGAGACATTGTGTTAGACACCCAAGAATGCAGACTAAACTCTTCAAAAAGGTAAATTTAAAAGAGCAAACAACAGCCAACACAGGAATAAAAACAGTACAAACAAATTAACCAAAAAGCACACAAAAACAAGAGAACCTCCAAAAAACAATGTAAGGAGGAAACAGAATGCAAAAACTGAGTTTGACACCGCTGTACTATGGTATTTCAAAGCCAGAAAACACCTTCATCTTCCTTTTGTCCACAATTTCTTTGCAGAACTCCTCATAGTCGGACTGAAAACTAAACATGACCAGGAACGGTTCCCTGCAATCATTCATCTCCTCTTCATCCAGGCCATCACAGAAGCATTCAATTCAATTCAATTCAAAAATACTTTATTAATCCCTGAGGGAAATTGATTGCTGTAGTAGCTCAGAATAATAATAATAATAATAATCAAGTCATCAAAGAGTTATTGTATATTACAATGGCTGTTGGCAGGAAGGATCTCCAGTAGCGGTCAGTGTTGCAGCGAAACTGAAGAAGCCTCTGACTGAAGACACTCTTCCGTTGTCGGACAGTCTTGTGAAGAGAATGCTCAGGGTTGTCCATCATTTTCTTGATTCTCTGGAGAATCCTTCTTTGCATTACCTCCTCCAGTGGTTCCACAGTCGTCCCCAGAACAGAACCAGCCTTTTTTATTAGGCTGTTGAGCCTTTTCAGGTCCCTGCTTCTGATGCTACTACCCCAACAGATGATGGCTGAAGAGATTACACTCTCAACAACAGACTTGTAGAAGATCTGCAGCATCTTGCTACAGACATTGAAGGACCTAAGCGTCCTAAAGAAGTGCAGTCTGCTGTGTCCCTTCTTGTAAACGGCTTTGCAGAACCTCTCCACTGCCCTCCGGCAAGCTTCCCTGTCCATGGTGATGACCTGGGGAAGGGAAATGTTTCCTTTGAAGGACCTTGTGGTACACCACCTTGCTGCCTCAAAGGTGTCCTCAAGCAGAGACTTCTCCTAATCAAAAATTTGGGGCAGCAGTAGCTCAGGTGGTAGAGCGGGTTGCCTCATGATCGGAGGGTCATGGGTTCGATTCCAGCTCCCGCCACGGGTATCCTGCTGTTGTGTCCTTGGGCAAGACACTTCACCCAACTTGCCTGTGTTGGTGGTGGTCAGAGGGGCCGATGGCGCCAAATGGCAGCCTCGCCTCTGTCAGACCTCCCCAGGGCAGCTGTGGATACAAGTAGCTTACCATCACTGGCAGTGTGTGAATGTGAGAGTGTGTGAAAGCGTCTTTGGGGGTCTTGAAAAGCGCTATATAAGTTCAATGCATTATTATTATTATTATTATTATTATTATTATTATTAAAATAAAGACAATATAAAAATTACTGCTTTCATGAGATTAAAAACATATTTTACATTAATTATGTATGATCTGTAATTAATTTTCCCTGCTTCAGCACAGCTGATTTCAATTGATGGCTGATGAACAAGCTTTTGCTTCACTGCAGTCATCTTAATGCGGTCTGCTATATCACAGAAACTCCAAAAACATGCAGGGCAGTGTGTCTTGAGGACCAGGGTTGAAAAACACTCCTCCAATTATTATGTTATGAATGGCACCTTTTTAAGTCTGCTTAAGTCACATCATTTACTAATTAGTTGCTAGTTAGGAAAAATGGCTTTACACCCAGTGGCGGCTGGCCAGTAGAGGGCGATAGGGCGCCGCCCTCCCAGTTTCCCCTGTGTTTTTAATTTTCATTTAAAAAAATAAATAAATAAAATTAACAATAATCACATATTCTAAGTTAATTGTGTGTTTTGTAACAAAAATAAATCATATATATATATATATATATATATATATATATATATATATATATATATATATATATATATATATATATATATATATATTGGTCTCTGCCGATCTCTGCCGGTCTCTGCCGAGCAGTGGAGGCTGTGTGCTGTTTTTCAATCGCCCAAACAGGACGGGACCAGTTGTCCATTTGCTGACAAGAAAATCAAAGGGTAGGAATGGGAATGTATCCACTCAGCGTCGACGTTGTTCCAGAACGTTTCAGAAGCATAATGGGCGATAGAGCTACCGCCAAGGCTTTCGTTGATGTTCGGTAGAACTCGGAGAGTCTCGACTCCAGCACGTTTTGACGGTCGTGACGCAGACATAGACAGTGCGCCTACAACATGGATACCGGATCTCAGCAGCCACTGAATTCAGTTCGGTCTCCTCCAGTATCCGTTCGAGAGGAGAACTATGGTGGAAAAACTTAATGTCAAAGAGCTTGGACCAGATCAGCCCGACGTAAAGATAAGCCAGCAGGAGAAGGAGAAGGGTAAACTACACACGACGCTTCTCCCAAAATTGGTACACCAGGAAGCAGTGGCTAGCTGGATGCAATCACGCTAATGTGTTATTTTGCTTTCCGTGTTTGTTATTCAAAACGGCTGGGATCCACAGAAGGTGGATGTGGAACTTGTGTCTCATTGGGGACTCTATTCATTCTCTGACTGAGGAATGCAGCGCATCAGTGCAGCAGCCAACAAAGAAACGGAGGACGTTTGGCCAGGGAGAACAGCAGCTGGGTGCAGAGGTAAGCTGTCCATTACATTTCTGTAAACAAGACAATCAGAATCAGAAATCCTTGGTTGTCCCACAAACCGGGACATTTGTTTAATAACATGTTTAATGTGCAATAACTGTAAAATCTAATTTCAACACACATACCTATTATACATATTTAATCATGTAAATGTGTATTTCAAGTAAATTTGTACATACATCAATCTGATTCCATTTTACTTGTTACACTTCTGCTGCAGCAAACAAATTTCCCAGCTTGGGAAGTGGGAAATATGACATTTTGTAAGAGGATACTGATGAAATTATTTCCTATGAAAGTGTTTCCACTTTCCATAAGTCCTAACAGTGTAAATTTCTGGCATTTTGTCTAAGTAGTGTTTACTACCATTACTGTAACAGTGACCTGCTCATAATTTTTTGTGTTCACTCAAATGTTGAAATTAAACAAAATGTTTTTGTTACTTGCCTCTTGCATTGCCTATTTACCATTTATGGTCGTGTTATTTTATGTGCAATTTAATGCAGTATTTTTCAACCTTGGTCCGCAAGGCAGCGTGCCAATAGTCAGACACACCTGGATTAATCAGTTTGTCCAATGATGTAAGACAGGAAATAAAAGAGCTGTGCTTAATTCAGGAAATAGTGAAGTTGTGCACAAAGCTCAGAAAGCACAAGTTTGTTTAAAAAAAAATAGCACAGCCCCACCAAAAATATTTTTCACCAGCCGCCACTGTTTACACTATTCTTTCCTTATTCTATATTTAGCATGTAACAACGATTAAAAAACAAAACTAACATATTTTCCCTACGTAATGTATAGTATTTCTCCCTCAACAGTAGATTGTGCCAGATATTAATATTGTTCTAAAACTTGATAAAGGAGCTTTAAGTCAAGGTTTATATAATTACACATATAAGATTAGCACTCTAACCATAATAATAAAGCCCGTCAGGTGTAGAACTCAGATACGAACATAAAAAGCTTAAAAAACTAACATATTTCCCCCTGTAAAATATATTTTCCATCAAAAAGTAAACATGACCACACAACATATCTCCCCAAAGCTATAAAAGTGTTCCTACAGGTTTCTTCAACTTAAATTTAAGTCTGTTTAAGATCTTTCTAAAGCCATATAGAAACCTATTAACACCTATTTCTCGGCACCATCAGCAAAAATAAATAAATAAATACATAAAAATCAATAAAATTATTGAACTAGTTTTCATTTATTTATCTATACAACTTTACCAATATATTTTAACAAAACCCTGGGTGGGCACTTGGTAGAAGATCGGTTATATTTTTAAACAAATGGTTAAAAATATAACCGGATCTATCTG